CTTAGCTAAAACTTCAGGTACAATATTAAAGTAATAAGACTTTGCTTTGTCTCCCCACACTGTGAAACCAGCAACTCCTCCTTTTTAAAGGACTCTAAAAGCTTCTGCTATCATCTTCTCTGGGTTTGTTGTAATTTGAAGGCATAGATTAGCGATATAACAATCAAAAGCGTTATCACTATACTGTAACTATTCACCATTTGCCTTTTCTACTTTAAGATTATATTTTTCAATAAATAGTTCGTCCCTAAATGCTTCTGATATTTGTAGCCTTTTACATAAAATAGAGAGCATTTTCTCTGAAAGATCTGTGGCAACATAAGATGCTTCAGGTCTCTTATAGTTCATAGTATGGTTGTAAAGAAAACCAGCTCCAGCACCAACTTCTAAAATTTATTTACGAGTATTAACTTTCAGCATGTTTAAAAGAGAAAGGTAGAATACATTAGTAGCATCGTCTTAAGAAGAGTATTCATCTGAAAAGTTATCCCAATACTTTTCTATTTCTGGTATTTCTTAGATGTATGACATTTTTATTGAATTTTTTTATATTAGCTTTGGTAACTTGAGAATATTTTATAAATATTTTTACATTTTATTTATTATTTATTTATTTTAGAGTCATTGAAGTATGAGTTTTCAATGGCTTTTTAAAATCTTCTAGAAAAAATTAAGATAAAATAGAGCTTAAAATTTTATAGATATAAAATAAAAATTTATTGTAAATTTTAATTGTTTTAGGGTAACCTTAATCTTTAAAACATATTGACAATTGGAAAAAATCTTATCATTGTAAATTGAGGTTTTAATAACAATTGAAATCAATCATCAGAAACACTTTTGGTAAATTAATTAAGTAACTTTAAAATTGACGATAAATTACGATCAAATATATCAAAAATAAATTGAATGTAAATAAGTATTGTAAATTCAAATAATGTAGTCTACTCTTTTTAAAGAAATTTTGAAAGTGTTATTATGAGATTTAATATTTCAGCTAAAGTATGCTTAGTAATTTCTTTAAAATTGGTTAAGTATTTATACTACTTTATAAATTAGATTATCTAAATATATATTAAAATGGAATATTTAAAGAATAAATGCTTATCTGATATTATATCACAATTAATAAATATTTTACTTTTTAATAAAGTAAAAATCAATTCTAGAACAAAACATTATTTTCATGAGATCATAAATACTACAAATTAAATAATTTAATTTATATTAATCTTTTATAATTTTTTTAGAATTTTTAAATTAAATTTACAATTTTACAATTCTTAAAATAAAATAAATATTGGTATTAAAATTAGATTTAAATTTCAATTTATTTTTTAAATAATAAAAGATGAATAAATTACTGCTTTTAAATTTCTAATTAAAAAAAATATAAATAAATTTGTTTTATTAATATTTATAATAATATTAATGTTGTTTTTCAAGTTACTACATTTTTATTTTATTCATTTAAATTTCATTATATTTTAAAAATTGTAATTGTCGATCATTGTTTCGATAACATTTGTAACTTCTTCTTTTGCTTCTTTCATATTATGTTAATCTAATATTAAACTGTCCTGTTAATCTTAATTATCTAAATATTACTTTTGTGAGTTTTATTAGTTTTGTTAATTATCTTTCTAACTCTCAGCAATTTCTTTATTTAAAATATCAATATTACTGCTTACACTGCTAGAGGATATTGAGGATTTATTACTTTTACTTTAAATTTCTATATTTTAATTTTTTGTACACATATCCATTTTTTTTAAGAATTAATGCTTAAATATGGAAGGTGATCTACATAAAACATGTTCACTACCCCTAGGAGTTTATATTTACTAATCTTATGTTATATTTTGTTATATCATATTTGTGCTAGAAATGTTATTTGCTAAATATTAATAAAATTTAAATTAGATTTGTAAATTTATTTTGATTGATAATAAAAATAAAATTTTACTTTGTTTCATATTAAAGTTGGTATCCTAAACATTTTATGGCTTTTATGTACATATAGACTAATTGTCTTAATATTTAGAAATTTAATATTGCTAAATGAGAGAATCCCCTGTTTTTAAAATGCAAATACTTAAAATTAAAACAGATTAAAAAATCAATTAATTAATTACATTCTTAACCTCCTCTTTTTGAATTTTTAAGTGCAAAAAATTTCAAAGAATTTCTCTAAACTATTTCTTTAGTAAGTTGGCATCTACTACTTTCAATTTAAGCTTTTTACTCTTTTAAATGGCAGAGATGAATTGATATAAGTTTAAGAGCTTTTTTCCAATTTTTAAAAGCATTCTTTTGCCTTTCAGGATAATCCTATAACTATTTTGGTAAAAGGTTATTGAGGCAGTATATTTTTTTTATAAGAATAGTTATAAGTTTTATTAATTTAGATTTAATTATCTTATAAATCAGGTAAGCCATAAAGCTATAGTTTATAATAATAAGCAAATAATTGCTTGCCAGTACCAGAAATTGATCTTATTAAGTAGTTTAAATAAACTAGTTTAGTTAAATACATATTATCAGTATAATATTGCAAATTTAATCAGTTTTGTTAAATTATATTGAAATATAAGGGCGCTTATAAAAAGAAAGTAAAAGATATAAAAATAAAATGATTGTGCAAAGAGTTCCTTATATACTTTGATAATCCTCAAAAAATGTGCTCACAAAAATTATAAGCATTTTCAGATTAATTTTTGTAATCTCCCAATAATAAGTCACTTTTTTGTATTCTTGATACAAAGGACCAAATCTTAATCTAGTTATAGAATTATCAAGTCTGTTCTTATTTATAACTAGGCAATAAAGCCATAAAAAAGGAAGTACTATTGCCCAAAAAATGAATAATGGAATGATTAAGTAGCCTATAAATGTTTTGTGTTCTTATGAATAGCAAATTAAAGTAACATCTCCAGCAATGTATGATTTTTCTCCTATTTATCTGCAAGTCATCATAGAAGTCAATCCAGATAAAATATTGGGCTACATAAATAAAAACACAAATATAAATCCATTTATTAGATAATTTTTATTTGCTCTGACTATCCTATTTTTAAAAAGAAAATTGATAATTAACTATCTAAAAATATATAAAATATTAATTTAATAAAATTTTTTATTTTTTCTATGAAACAATTAAAGATTATTAATATAATCTAATTATTTTAGGGTAGGAGATATAAAAAGTTTTAGAATAAATTTATCCCTTTATTTTTTTAAATAAATGACTAAACAGTATAAAATAGGGTTAAGCTGAATATAAGGTCTAACCCTAGTATTAATAACATCGAAAAAAAATAAATATTTTACTTTGTAATTACTACAAAAAAATAAAAGATCATAAGAAACTGAATGTATCCTAATGCTATAATTTATTGCCATAAAATACGTCCATAAGCTGGCTTAATATACTAAGCTAAAAAAACGCTCCTACAATCTTAAGAGTATTTTAAAGTATCCAATGGTGACCCGATAGAAACTGATAAAAATTAGAATATTTTTGGTAACTGTATTTAGTAAACAATTGAACCTACTTGCATAAAATGCATTAAAAGTTTGATATAAATATCTGTCTAATCTCTTGATTCACTCCTACTTACGCATACCAAATTCATTTTTCTCAAATAGAAGCACTAAATTTTAACTATAGTTGTAATAATCACTTACCTGATTCCATATATTAAATAAATTGAGCTCAATAGAGCTACTCCTACATATTAGAAAATCAATGGAATGCTATCTTTGCAAGCAACGCAATTATACTAACCATCATTCATATATTTACTTTTCCATACATCTCCTATTAAATCACACTACTCACAAAGAGGACCAACGTATCCAGGTGCACAATAATTTATATTATTTGACTCCTATCCTTAGCAGTTTTTTTCATTCCTTTTACAATATACAATATTATCGGTTTGGTTATTTTCTCTCCAATACCCATTTTTAAGTATTATTGTGCTACCTTAACATTTATAAGCTGTATCTGGACATAGTTTGCACGTTTAATCTGATGTAGTTGGGCTTTACTCAATTAAAGAATATTTATCTTATGGACAGGGCATGCAATAGGTTGGGCTATCAATTGTTCTTAAAAAATACATTTATGAATTATTGAAAAATAAAAAAAATATTATTACTATGTTATATAAATTTCTCCCACAAGGCATTTCCTGAAATTAACTTTAACTTTAATATTTATATTTTAGAGTACTAGAGTTTAAGAGTTATTTATGGACGGTACGTAAATGAACTAATTCTGAATATAAAATTCTCTTTATGAAGAAGGATTACCCTTTAAAATAAGATTGTCTATTATAAATAAAGAAGTATAATTGTTGTATTCATTGAAAAATGTATTCCCACTTAAATTTATTTCTTCTCCTTATAAGCAATTTATAGAATACTAATTTAATTCTGTTTTGATAACATCAGGAATATCATCTTTTGGTTAGTATTAAACAATGTTATCTTCTTCATCAAACACTTTGAGACCTATATTGAAATAATCCCCACTCATGAAAGAGTCTATTTAGTAATTATACATTTACTACAGTTCGTTTGAGCTTATTCCTATTTAATAATTAGAAAAAAAATAAAATAAAAAACATATATTATAAATAAAATTAAAAAAAAAATTTATATTTTACTTTCTTAAAGAGATCTTATTGTAGTATTTAAGCTTGTAGCCACCATATATCTAGGATATGATCCTATGTTATTTCCAAATACTTTAGCTTAATTTTGTGAAATATTATTAGTTGTTTACTCTATTTAATTTTAATAAATGAATTTTGGTATTTTTTGAATATATCTAATTCCTCCTCCTATAAATGCATTATTGTATATTATTGTTGTATTAACAACATCTATATCTGAATTTTGTAAATAGATTGCTCCTCCTACAAATGCTGTATTGTTAAAAAAAGTGCAATTTTAAATTAAGCTTGTTTTAATTGTATTTGTAATACTAATTGCACCACCCTGACCTGATTACTATTTAATGAAAATAGAATTATACATAACAAAGTAGCTTTATTAAATTAAAAAAGAGCATCCTTAAGAATTTATACAAAAATTATTTTCAAAAATAGTATTATTTATCAATATATTATTAGATTATAAGTAAATAAGAGGATGATTCTCTAGAGTCTGACAATTAGAAACTTAGAATTAAGAAAGTTATATAATATCATTTTAGAGGATTATTGTCTTATCTTGCTAATAATTGGTAGGAGAAATGCTCAAAAGAATAATATTTTAGCAATTTTAAGCGTTAAACTGTTCAATTATTAAATTTTAATTGGCATTCAAATTCATTACTATGAAAGTCATCTATGTCAAGGTACTTCTAAATACAACATTTTTAATGGTTAAATTTATACAATTTCTAACTACAATCAAGTTAAAAAGTAAATTTTGAACATCTTGTTAATTTAAAGAATTTATATTATTGTAATATATTTAATCTATTTCTAAAGTATCAATAGTAACTATATTTGAACTATCAATTAATAATAAGACCTAATTACTAAAATATGACTGAGTAATTTTAATGTTTGAAATATATACTTCGTTGACATTAAATATGTTATAAAAATAAGGATTATCAGCTTATGTAATATTGTTATTTTAAAATTTTGAATTTTAAATTGTTATGTTTTGCATTATTACTTAATTTAAATTTTAGAGTTAAATGCTGTTTCCATGAAATTCACTTTGCAAAGATTAATTCATTAATATTATTTTCTAAGTTTTTGGATTAAATTTTACTTAATTGTAGTCATCTAAAACCCAAAAAAAATCTCGTATTTAAATTATTTCAAGCTCAAATTACAAAAAACTAGTAAATTTTATATTAATACTATTTTAAAAATCATCCTCTTTACTGTATGTATAAATTTGATTTAACTAATTTTAATTCTAATTTTATGGAATGAGGTTAAATTCAGAGTTATTACTCATTTCAACAGTCAAGATTTATGTTTAAATTTAATTTTAACCTAATATTTATTATGATTGTATTTAAAGATTCAAATCACTCAACCATTAGAAATAGGTGCTTGTTTATTTGAAGTTGTAGTAGCAAATCTAGCTTAAGTCAGTTGGCTGCAATTCTTAAACAAAAGTATAGTTAAATATGCCTACTTAGTTGACTCCTTTCAATTTTACTGTGATATTATCTTCAAACTATGAAAAAATTATTTAAGAATATAAGCTTGGAAATTTCTTTTATATGCTTGCTTGTTGCTAAGAAATATTTAAAACTAGAATTTGGCTTTTACAAACAACAACAATAAGCTATCTTGACAAGAATATTATATCAGCTATATCATAAATTGATGATGGTTATCTCAAATAACTCAAAAATTGAAAGTCTTTTGAATAATTATAGAAGTTAATTTAGAATGTGCAAATAATAGAAATAAGATTAAATTATCTAGAAATTTTAACCTATACTCCATAATCACTAGGAGCTAAAATTTAATTAGCCAAAATAAATTCTTAGTTTTGATAATTAAAAACTTAAACTTTCTACTGTAAAGAATTCCAAACAAATAGTTATTTCGCTATTTCATCATATTATATTTACATAACTGCAGTATTATATTTTATATTTTAGTAGATTTTGTATTAATTTAATTTTTATTCAAAATTATAGATGTCTAGATTTCCATCTTATGAGCAAACAAAGAGCCTAATTTTGTAATAGAAAAATAAAATTTTTATCTAATTTAGAAAAATTCACTAATAAGATAAATCATCAATTATAAAAAATAATTAATTAAGTTTCGATAAAAATAATTGAGTGAAATTACATTTAAAGTTAAGAGTCTAAAATTAATTATTGAACTGCTTATGTATTTTTTTATATTATTTGAATAGTTTTTTGAGTCTTATAATTGTGTATAGATATTATACCTGATACATCTGATGCTAAAAAAAAATTGAGTTAAGTATTAAATACTATTTTTGATATTCTATGAGAATGAGTTCCATCATAGGTATTTAATAATTTCATTTAGATACTTTGTGTATCTAATAAAATTTAAATTATTGTAAAGTCTTCAGTTATCGCAAATAAGAGATTGCTAGTTTCAAGAGGATATATATCTTATATTTAAGAGACTTAAAAAGTTGAGAGCTGGTATAAATCAAAACTAAGTAAAATGATAGCTTTTGAATTGCTTAAAACTAAATATTCGTTAAAAATCATAAAATTATTAGGATATTCTTCTAATCTTTAGAGAAAGAGAAGCTTATTTTCCTTCATTTACCATGATTTTCTTTCATTATCGATATATATGATAATATCTACATATTAAATTAAAAAATATATTGTTGATTGATAATTTTTATTTTTGTTTGCAAAGCTAGTTTTAATATTTGTTAATAAAATAAAATATTACCTACGTTCTAAAGGTAGACTTGTTAAACCTATGAATATGAAGGTAAGTTGAAAGACGATCCTTCATCTCCTAAATAGGTATAGTATTTTCTTATTTCGATTTATGCTTAATTGTAAATAATAAGTTAATTGGTTTATTTATCAATAATTATAGATTCTACATCACCTGTGTTTGCAACTTTAGTATAAATCAAATCTTTAATCGGGCTTATAGTTTGCTAGAAAGGTAAGACTGTTTCTAAAATATTTAAGGTGTTTTAAACCAAGAAAAAATCAGATTCTTCATCTATGAATAGATTTATGAAAGGATTGCCATATTATTAATCAACAATTGAAGAAAGCATAATTCCACTCTAAAAGTTCCAAATCTCTATTTAATAATTTTCCTTATATGCTATCATGCCAACTAAATTCTTCATAACTTATATTTAAAATATAGTCCTTGTAAATTTACCTGTAAACAATTGTTATAGACTAGTTCTATCAATTGACATAATTACTTAATTAGCATATGCTATAAGATAGCTATCTTAGATCAGTAGATTTTACACTGTTCCATCAAATTAAAGAAATTCTGTAATTTTTTATCCACTGGCTGCTTAGTATACTGCAATACTCTAACCTAAAATAAATAATCTTTAATTATCTTGATCAATCACTATGTTTGTCGAACCATTTTTAGTAATCACTCTCTAAATTATTCCGTTTTGATAATTAGTTATAACAGTGCTAAAATCGGAACTAATAGATATACAAAGAGGGGTATATGCATTAAATAACAGAAGATTAATAATGTTAGCTTAGTTATTTACAGATAGAATTTTAATTAGGTTGACATTTTTAAAATCCCAAATGAAAATTTATCCATCTTAAGAATATGAAAATAATATATTTTCAACCTTTGATATTGCTAATCCATTAATCTTGCTTTTAGTTGGTAAAATTAAAGGTACAGATTCTCCTCTTTTGTAGTACCACATTTATAAATTATTTTATATATCTTGATTATAGCTATAAATAATTCCTTGCTCATTATCAATTAAGCAATCAGTAGGTGGTAAATTATGAAATGAATTGAACCTAAAAATATATGTCAATTTAAAAATATATCAAATAAAAAATAATTTTAAACTTACATAATTAAAGTGTAATCTAAATAACTAATTGTAGAAAGGTAATTTGATAAAATAAGTAAAATATTATCTTGATTTAAGAGATAAATTTTATTTATTGGAGTAGTATCATTGTATCTAGAAAGTAATGAAGAAGTGTCTGGTACAAAATGACTAACAGTAATTTATCCTGAGTGTTCATAATATATAGCTCTTTGTCTTGTATCATCAATCTTCAACCCAATAATAACTGTATTAGTATAAAAAGATTATTCGGCGGACAAATCAACTAAACTTCCTACTAAAATATTCCCACCAAAGGCACCAAAATTTCTCACTGAAAATGCTTTTTGGAAGTTATATGATACTACAACGTTCAGAAATGGATCAAGTGGATACCCTTAACCATCAACAAAAAAATATGAATCATCGAAACTCCTAACAATTACATTACTAGGTGGTCCTGTTGCACAGAAAACAACATAATATCCAACAATACACTTTTAATTAAAATTAAATAAATATATATTTTTAATAAAAAAATGATAAATAAAACTGTTCATAAGATAAACTGTCCTGTTTTTAAAAATATTAATAGTATCAATAAAACTTAAATAAACAAGTTTATTAATATTAAATTTAATAATTTAATCATAAATGAAAATTAATGTTTTATTAATATATTGTTTTTTTTTGGTGAAAAATGTTTATTATTGTTATTTTCTTTTTAAATATTTATAATTTTACCACTGACAATTAAGTTTTTTCATCACTAAGCTTGACTAAATTTAAGTTTGCATCTAATAAATATACTTTTCCTAAGCTAAAGTAGACAATCATAAAAGAAAAATCTACATAAAAATTATAGCCTTGTAAATTTCCATAATTAGAATCAAATTAAGACTAAATAATATCATTTGTGTCCAATATCTGTAAAGATGGAAAACTCCTGTAAGTTAGAAATAAATCTTGTGAAATAGTGAAAAGTTGTAGTTATTGCTGTTAAGTTAAGAAAGATTTTAAAAATCCTGATTTGATAGTTTATTGATATTCTATTTATCCTGTTATTATATTATAAGAATTAATAGTGTTTTATGTAACTATTGCAATATATTTTCCTATATCATCTTTATGTATATTAAGTATATTTTCTTTCATATTTATAGAAGAAATTACTTTTTTTGTAATTCCATTAAAGCAAACTACACTAAAGTCACTGTAAGAAACGCAAACTATTCCTCCAACTCTAGATATTTACAAATATAAACCTTATGGGTATTAGGAAGGATTAGTATTTACATAAGATGGATGAATAAACTTTTATAATAAGACTCCAGTTGTTAAGTCATAAATAAATATTTATCCATCTAAAGAAGTACTTGCAAAAATACTACATTCATCTTCATAATCTAAGTATTTAACTTCCTAAGAATGCTAAATGTAACTAGATGCAAGCTTATTTATTGAATATTTTAAATATAAATTATCCATAGATATACAATATATTTAACTTCCAAATACATACAATAGATTTTTTTGAAAGCTAATATAAGCACCTTTTATTGTGAGTTCATTTAAATTTATGGAAATTTATTATTAATTTGGCATAGAAGTATATTTAGGTAAGATAAATGATTAAAATTATTGATTAATTGAATCTAGATAATCAAATACTTAGAATAAACCATTTTAGCTGTATATAATTAAAGTATTTGATGATAATATAGCACTTAAAATATTATCCCCTTAACTTATTTAAAACTTCTACTTATCAATAAATTATAATTATATCAAGGAAGGGGAATTTTATGAAAAAGAAGAGATAATTATATCTTATTAAGAAAAAGTTATTACTCTGGATAGACTTTAATCTAAAATCATATTTATGATTGGACTTTTATGATTTAAATTATAGCTTTTACACTGTGACTAAGCAACAGAAAGGTCAGTTATTTTAATAGAAAAGCCATCAGAGCCTAAACCGCCTAAAGAAAAGAGGTATTTTTTTTACAGTAAACTAATCTAAGAGGGAGGACCATTATGGACACACAATAAGCGATAATAATTTACTTGCTCTAAATCCCAAAACAGGATAGTGTTATCTAAGGATGAAGTTATAGCACTATTGTCTTCATTTAAAAATATTATTTGCTCAACTATATTTGAATGCCCTATAAACTACTTTTAATTTTTATTTTTCAAGTCATTTATGTAGAATTCTCCTTAGTATCCAAAAGAACATATTTTATCTCTACTATCATTTAACTCACTATTTTCAGTGAGCTGTCCAAAAGTAACATTATACTTTTAACTGATATTTCCATTATTAACGTTCCAAATAATCACCTCACCACTTTATGAGAAACTTAAAATTTGATTCTAGTCTTCTAAGAGTATAATTTTTAAAACAGGTGATGTATGAACATTGATTTCTGATATTAATTATCCATTTTAAGAATCCCACATATAAATATTATTATCATTGTTACTAAAGGATATTATCACTTCTTAAGTTGTATTTTGTGGAGTCAAAATTAATATGTTTGACACAGGGTAAGAATGAAATATGTTTCCTTGCTAAGAAAGAATTGAGCATAAGTTTAATGATCTACAAATCCTATATTCGCTATCAGCAATTTCATTGCTTGAGCAGATAGCCACACATTTTGAAGATGACTCTTAGTAGAATAACTATGAACTGCAATTTCTAACACACATTTGATTATTTTAATTAGAAGCTAAAGTAAATCCATTCAAGCATTAAATACAATTATTTTATGCATCATATTAAAAACAGTTTTAAGTTAAATTTACTACTTTAAAAATGTTAAAAATTGTTAAAATAAAAAGGCATTTTTAAGTATTCATTTTAAATAATTTTTTTAATCTTTTTTTTTAATAAATAATAAATGTGTTTGTAATTTTTATTGGTTTTTAATTTAAAATGAATATAAATGATAAATCATTAATAACTAAACACACATAAATACAAAAATAATTGTAAAATTATAAATAAAATGTTGTGTTATTTACTTATTTTTTGTTTTAATTACTCATTTTGTATTGAATTTCTATATAAATATAGTAAAAATCTCAACATTCTTCAAATTTTATTGATCTTACTTTATAACCTGAAGAGAAACTTTAATTTAAATTTGTTAATTATATATTTCCATTAGGTATTTTAAAAAGGAATTATTACTAAAACCCTTATTATTCTTAAACTTATTACTTTCTAGATAGTTAATGTAATTTCCTTTTTTTGTAAATAAAAAGTAAAATTTTAATTAGTGAATGAAAGGGATATATTAGCTAAATTAAGTATGTATGGAGAACTATAATCCATATCAAAGAATCTATAAATGAATGTTAATTTTCAGGTTTATTTGATTGAAGTACTAATATCAGTGCAAAGAACTCTAAATAATAAAGAGACCACTAAAACTAATCAACTATGAAAAATATATTTTGCTTTTTTTAGATGAAAGGCCTTACTATGAGCATTATTATGGAAAAAATTAGTTAAGCTAGGAGCAAAAGAACTATTTTTAAAACACTTCTATTGAAGAAGCATATTTAAATTGTTGGGATAACAAAAGAATTGAAAACTAAATAAATAAGCATAAAGTTTCTTCTTAGCTTATTTGAAGGTATACATCCATTTATTATTTTTTTTTAAGTAATATTTGCAAGCCCTAAAGGTTGATAGAATTAATCTATTACTGCTTGATTCAATATAAAATAGGATACTATTAAAATAAAAAGAATTATGATTGAATAGATAAAATTCATCAAAATCTTAATTTCTTTTAATCTTCCTGTTTAAGAAATTTTGCTTTCACTGAATTCTAAGCTTTGGACTAATATACTTAAAAAAGTTATGGGAACAATCAGCAAGAAAACTTAAACAATCAAACTTGAGAAGCCTCTTTCATATACTTTTAATCTAGTAACACTCTCACAATCTTATCTATTTTTAGTAAGAGCATAAAACGCTCCATAAACAAGTACACAAATCAAAAATAATAAAATAGATTAGCCAGCATTTTTCAATATGCTAAATGACAATTTAATACTTTCGAATTGATAGTTTTCATAACTCGTGTTCGATTTTTCAACTAAAGAGATGAATGGATTGAATGAAACTAAGTAAAAGATTGGATTCACAACTATTCATTTTATAAAATTAATTTAAAAATATAAAAAAATAATTTTAATACTTTTAATTAATTAAAAAAAGGAATTTTTTATAATATTCTAAAAATAAAAATTTGTTTATTAATTTAATTCAAAATCGAAAAAAATCATTTAAAATAAAATTAATTTTATTTGCTAAAAAAATGACTTAATTTAATTTTATTTGTTCATTATTGAATTATTATATATAAAAATATCAGCAATTAAATAAATAAATAACTAAATTTTTATGATTACTTGCATAGTTTTTGAGTAGTAAATAGATCGGTAATGGAAAGGTTGTAGAAGTTAAAATCATAAAAGGAACCTTAAATGTATTTAAATGAGTAGTTAAAATGGTATCAGTATTTCCTAGTAGAAACCCCTCTAAGATACTCAAAATGATTGATGAACCAAGGCAAATTGAAGATATTTCTAATACAGAATTTCCTACTTTCTCTGAAGTTTCTTAGCTTATTGCACTTTTATAAACCATAAAGTTTTATATGCAAGTACTATTAGACATCATAAGATTCGGTTTACAAGACAAACACTCATCTTCGTTGATTCCTGAACAAGTTTTACAATTTTTAGAGCATGCGAGGCATTTGAAGTATATACTTTCGTACATAAAGTTATTCTCTTTTACACAAAAACTATATTATGGTTAATTTTAAAAGCACTATCCATCATACAGATATTCCCCATTTTTACAAAGGATACAGCTTCTTAAGCTAATTTCACAACTCAAACAAGATTTTTCTATGCAGCTTTAGCATGTAAGCGAGGATGGATCGCAATAAGTACCTTAAGGTGTAATTTCATAACAAAGTTATTTATAATTGTAATATTTTTTCGAGCATTTTAAGCAAGCTTTCAAAGATTGGTCGCATTCTTTGCATTAATTAACCTTGCAAGACTTACAAATACGACTCTCAGGATTGCAGTAAAGCCCATCAGGGCGTTTTGATATATCAAAACATTATCCATCAAATAAATATTATGTTTAATCACACTCGACGCAACTTTTATCAGAGTTACAATTTTAAATTAATCTAAGCTTTAATTTATTTTATGAAGTCTCCATTATCATTATATTTGTATTTATAGCAGTATTTTATTCAATTAAGCTAAAACAAATTAAGCTCCAATGTAATATAAGTGTAATTGAAAAATAACATGTTATCATCATTAATTAATACTAATTTTTTTTTGCAGATAAATTAATTATGAATAAATTATAAACTAAATAATCAAAAAATTGTAAAAAATATCTAAATAGAACCAAAATATTTATTAATATTATTAATTAATTTAATTGCCAATGGTACTATCATTTTTTAATTTTGTATTTCTATTATTTTTTACTGAATGATTAACTTTAATGATAAATCAAATTAAAAATCAATTTATTTCTTTATTGAAATTAATTTAATATTTTTAATATAAATCTTTAAAATAAATTATTAAAAAACAAATTTAAAATAGCAATTTATTTTACTTATTTTTTAGGAAATAAATTTAATTAATTTTATTTTAATTTCTAAAATTAATTTATTTGTTGTTTTATTTGCCATTATTAAAATTCTATTAATGAGGTGTTTATCTATTTTTAAACAAATAAAATTAATTAACATCTATCTTTTTGAAAATACCCAAACCAGTTTTATGTGACAGAAATTTGAAAAAATTCAAAAAATTTATATAGATTGTTATTGTTTATTTTTCAGTTTAAAAAATAATATAGCACACATTTAAAATTAATAGAAATTTATAATTTAAAAATCGAATAATAATTAGCCATATTTAAATATCTTTAAAGTTTATATAAATAAAAAGTAGTTTTATTGCAATTAAAGAAGTAATTTAGGCAAATTTATTATGATTTAGGATAGATCTACTTCAACAAATAGCTTGGTTTATAGCAAGAATTCTATCAACATGAATTCTTAACAAAAAATAAATTAGAAACTGAATAATGAAAACATTAATTACTTATCTAAGAACAACAACACTACTTTTTAAAATGATTCTTTCCTGAATTCTAAAAATGCAACTTTGTAATAAAACTATAATTCAAATTCAAATACTAAGGATACATAAAGTTTTATCTGTGATAAACAAGACAATAGCATTTTATAGAATTCTAGCAATGTTATTCATAAAAGATCCTAATCTAATTTGCAAATGTGTTACCAAACAGTTAATCAAAATAACAACAATACACCACTTTAATAAGAAAAACAAAAGAGAAAAAGTTAAAATAGAAGACAACTTTCAGAAATGGAGGTAAAAAAAATGAACACCTTGAATTTCATTTAAGCCCTGAATGAAAGCCAAAGATCTAACAACAATAGCGTTGTTTACTCGGGTTATGGGTCTCAAATGAATAGCTCTGTAAAAAAAGGCAATTAAAATTTTGATTAAAATATTTATACATTTACGAAACTCAACGAAATACGCACACAACTTAAGGAACAAAAAGAAAACCTAGAGGCAAAGCAGCAACAAAGAGATATCCTAAAGAACTATTGTGAAAGAGAATCAGATAAATTTGAATAGAAAATAAAAGAAATCAAATATATGATTATGGAGGAAGAAGAATCAAATTAAAATTAATAGATGATTATTAAAGAAGAACCATAAAAAAGATAGGATGCTATTAAGAAGGTGTTTATAAACTCAGATAAATTATTTGAGAGTTTACAAAAAGTAGATTGTTTATTTTAAAGAGAGTGCATAAAAAACTAAAATATGGCTCATTTTGAAGAATTTAAAAAGTAGTAAATGCCTATTTTAGGTTCACTTGAAAAACTTTTTTAAGAAAAAGAAAGTATTATCATGAAAATATATGAATATCAGGACTTGCTAGAAAATTATTCTGAAAATAGGAAAATGCAGTAGTAAGATTTAGAAGGTTATGAGCTAAGAAACATTGAATTAGCACTCGAATATGACGATCTAGAAGCATACATAGAAATGCTAAAGTAGAATGAAGATGATTGTTAGATTCTCTAGCAAATTAATTTAAGAAATGTATGGATGTGTTTGCAAAATGAATTAAATAAACTTAATTTGAAGATGCAAGAAGTACAGTAAAATTACAATATTCTTGATGCTTAATCTAGAGCTATAGAAAAAGACATTGAGCATGAAGTTAAACAAGCAAAGGATCTCATTTCTATTTAAGAATAATCTATCACTCCAAAAGTAGTTATTTACTTTTATTTTACCAAATTTAATTAAAATTTCAAAAATATTTGTATTTAATTATATAAGTTTATTAAATATAAATCAATATTTCAAAACGATTAATTTTTAAAGCAAAATTAGTTTGTAAAATTTATAAATTGAATAATTTTTATTTTTCAGATTTAATTTAGTTTAACATAAATAATAATGAATATAAAATTAATGTTTAATAATCTTTTTAATAGGAAAAAGTAGATGAACTGTCTTGTAGGGAATATATTAAATCTACTTTAAATGATTTAGGAAAAAGTGCATACGAAGAAATAGAGTTTTTGTATGATGGAAAAAACATGGGTAAAATAATTTGTGAAGAAAGTTACAAATAAGATGATGAATAAATCAGCATTTTTCAAAACAAGATGATGAATTTAGTTAAATCTTTTTAACAAATTCTGGTTGATGAATTTTCAACTTATTGCAATAAATACAATAATCTTCAGTATAATGGTGAACCAGAACTATAATTTATTAATACAAAAAAATAACTTTTGTCCAATATTTAGTTGGATTATCAAAATAGTAAACTTGGATAGATTTTAGATAGAATGTTAGATTTAAACTCTCTATTTAGCAGAATAATAGCTAACTGTAAGTAAAGCGAAGATGCTATAAGAGTCTAAAAAAGGATAGTAGAAATACTTTCTATAAAAAAGCAATCATTTTCAAATAATTTTGAAGAACAAAAAATATTTTGCAACTTAAAGTATAAAACGGATCAAAAAAATGAAGAATTAATTCAAATTTAGAACGAAAAATTGATTCTCATGGCTAAATTAGATTAAATGAAAAATAGGAATAAGGAACTTTTATATGAAATTGAAAAGTAAGAGCAAAACACAATACCATTCTTTACAACAGAAAATTAAGTTAACCATACATTCACTAATGAAAGGTTAAATTGTGGCGCTGCTTAAACTAAAAGATCTAACTGTGATGACTCTTATATTTTTGATGACACAACTGGCTACTTAAACAAAACGAAGATTACACAAACTAATAACCAATATCTTATAACAGCACTAAATGATTCTCACTTAAACTATACTACAACAAATAATAATGTTAATAATATCAGTTAGATTAATTAATCGAACTCTATACTAAATAATAGTCATATTACACTCACATCTTACAATAATAATACAAAACAATTAACAACCTTAACAGCCAGAAGTAATTCTAATAATTAGAGTTTCTTTTATAAGTCAGCTACTAAATAAAATCCTAATTGTGGAAGCTAACGTTCCCTTTCACCTTCACCTTCAACTTCTTAAATTAACAAGAAATAAGTAGAAAATAGAAGTTAAAGTGCTCACTATTAAGCTTAGTATGAAAGAAAAACTTAAGTTGATAAAATATTTATCAGGATGTGTTAAATAAAGGTGCAAAAAGATGTAAATAATAGATATATAAGAGAGATCATTGCTGCATCAGAAAAGGAAAACCCAAAAGTTTAGCAGTTAGAATACCAAACAAAAGTATATACTAACGAGTTGCTCCATTTAAATGGAATGTAAAAAGATCATGCTGAGAAATTGACTCAAATTTATCATCGTTTTTTTGATGATCAAATTGAAAATTTTATTAGAAAATTAGAGGGTTTTATTTTAATTCAATAGTAAGTTCCCTTAAACGAGTTTACTCCTGCTTTGAATTTCTTCTTTACTAGAGAAACTTTAACTCCCATTGCAAAACTAAAGCTATTATAGAAGAAAATGGATGATCTTAAAGCAGAGCAAGAAAATCTTCTCTCTGATTGGATTCAACAAATGAATAATATTGAAAAAGAAATAATTGTGATAAATTAAAATATTCACCATATTTAAATTTTATATAGTAAATATGATGTTCCTCTTATTGAAGGTAATTCATCTTCATTATTTTACAATTAAGCATCAGGTGGTTTTGTTCCTGTAAATTCATTTCAATCTTCATCTTCTTCTTCTTAAATTTTTGCTAATGGTAGAGGAGAAGTTATCCACCATGATTAAAGTTTAAATCTCTCTGATATAGAAGGAAGTAATGGAACAGCACAAAAACACAATAGAACAAATTCGTCTCTCACAGCTATTAAATAACATTAAGCATTTTGTAATAATAATTCTTTACTATAATAATAATAATTTGGAAGCTCTATGTTTAGCAAAGAGAATTTACAAAATTACAATAATTATTCGTCTCCATAACAGAATTAATATGCAGAAAAGTGTGAATATAATGATTATAGCAACAACAGATATGCAAGTAATTTGTCTTAAAAGCTAAAAATACACAATGGCCTAATTGATCAGTCGATTTACTAAAATGTTCTAGAATACTTTAAAGAAAATAAAGGAATCTAAATTTACAAAATGTTTTAAGTAAACCAGGGGAATCTTGTAAAGTAGTAAATTTTCGATCCTTTGACATAAAAGAAGCACCCTCAAATATGTGGCTATGGGTTAAGAAAATTATCAGTTGTAAATGATGAATTGATTTTCTATAACTAAAAGAATTAAGCCATTGATTTGGCAATAAAAATAAAAGATTTTACTAATATATTCATTCACCCAGTAACTCTTGAAATTATAAAGTATTAAACAATGAATCCAAGTAATAAGATGTTAGAGAGAAGATGTGCTAAAAAATTCTTAGATGCTATGTATTATCCTTTTGCTTTTGAAGTAAAACAAACTGGCAGAATAGAGTGTTTATGTGATAATTATTAATCCCTAAAGTAAATATACACTCTATTTGTATCTGTTTTACAAGGCTAAGAATAATTTAATGCTTACAATAACTGATATGTTAACTAAAAATTATAAAATATATTATATATAATAAAATAAATATTTTGAATATATACTTCTTACATTATAAATAATTAATTTTTACTAAAATATGTAAAAATAAATATATTTCTCTTTAACTGTGTGTTAATAAATTTATATTCTTAGGTTTTATAGTTATTTTACATCTAATTTTGATAATTTTTAAAAATTTAGTAAATTCTTTATATCTTTATCATTTTATTTGGTTAGAGATTCTTTTAAAACTTATAAACTCAAAAATGAAATATTTATTGATCATTATAAAAAGAATTTCAGGCTTAAAGTGATAAATGAAATCCATTTCATAATATCATCTAAAAATAAATTAAAAAATAAATGCAGGTCAAATTTGTTAACAGACTTATTAATTGTAAAAAATAAAATTTTGCTTTATATTTTTTTGAATTTTTATAAATAGTCCAAAGGCGCCCCCTTAACTAAACTAGAAATAATCTTAAACGAATAAGTTTAACATCTCTCAAATCCTTTAAATAGATAATTTCATATATTGATTCATATATAGGATTTAATGCTTCTGCTACTAACTACCTAAGATAATTAATTTTTTAAATTAATTAATTTAAAATGTTTGACCTTAGTGATTTAAAAAAAACGGTAAATATAATTAAAAGAGCACACTAACTTTTAAATTATATAAAAAATAAAACGCTTGAAATTTTATTTGAGAATAATAACAAAATATGTGATTTGGGAGCTGGTTTGAAATTGTTTGATTTACATGATAAATGAAAGATTTAAAGCTTTTTTATCCTTTTAAAAATTGTATTAGTAAAACAGTGGATTTTCAATAGCAAATGGTATAAAGCAGTTGAATAAACTAGAAAAATGAAAGTATTTTTATAATTAAAATGGCTTTTATAAAGCTTTTGCTGATTTCTATAAAAAATTAAGTAATTTAAAGAACTTAAACAGCATTTAAAGTAAAGGTTTTGAAGCTTGCTTAAAGAATCGCTTCTAAAACTTAGCCTTATTTCTTTATAAATGAACTATTTCTTTTAATTTATTAAAGTTTAGCTTATATTTGAGATTTAATACCTTAATCAAAATATTTATTTTCACAAATCCAAAAATTAAATTCCATAAAAATTGTATTCTACATTGCTTTTTATTTTAATTTTATAAATGACTTGATACATTTAATTTTTTAAATTGTGATAATACCTAATTTGACTAATTTGAGAGTTGCACAGTTTTGATAACTAAAATTAGAACCAATATTATTTAAAAATATAGCAAGAAAACCAAAAAATGTATAGTGAATGATAATGAATAAAAGTATATTAGACGATAAATTAGTATGATTATTTTTGTAAACCAACTAAAATTGAAAATATAGATTAACACTAAAAAAAAATTATTTTAAAATGAAAAAATTAACATAAATTTTTTTTAAAGATTAAAATAAAATAATAATTTTATCTATTTTTTTTTTGTGTTTACGCGTTGCCCTCTAATTAAAAATTCCTTTTTCTAAAGAAAATTCTTAAAATGATGATTAAGCAAGAACTTTAATACTTTAGATGTTAATGAAAACTTTAATAGACTATCTAATTTAATTATATGTGTCATGTATGGCATTATTTTATTATTAGCTAAATTGAATATGAGAATAGGAAGTGAGTTTTGCTTTACAATTAATTATTTATTAAATAGTTTTTTCTATTCTTTTGGATTAAATTTTTGTTATTATTTCATAAGTCATTTGAACATGTTTTTGATGCTAACAATATACTGTATATTTCAAATAAATTTTCATTGATAAAAGAAAGCAAAAAAGCATTGGATAATTAATAACAAACAAAAAATATTATTAAAAATTTAAATTCTATTTGAAAGCCAATATGAAATTCATAATCTAATACTTAGATTAATTTGAAGAAATAGAGATAGAGACAAAGGGAGAGGGAGATGTTGACTTACCCGCGCTACTAAAATTGAGAGCGAAGCAGCTTTTTCCCTAGCTAAAAAATAATGAAATAGAACTTATGACTGAATGTGGTTTTGAAATGATTAATAATGGCTCTAAGTATGTTTGTGAAAATGATAATGATGACACTGATATTGTTTTAGAGGCTAAGTAGGTAAAGGTAGAAGTTGTAGAAGAAAACTGGATGATGATAAAAAACAACTAAGAAATGAATCTTCTTAATGAAGTATGCAAAACTGCTTCTAATATTAGCATTGATGAATATTCTGAAGAAATTCACAAACAGATTAGAGATGATTTGATTGTATCGTTCTAGCCTTACTATTCCTACTTTGTAGATAAGCTTTCTAACTTAAAAAATAACTCACAAATGAACATGAATTAGGTTTTTATCTAAATTATTAACTCTATTCACACAACAATTAATGAGTTCAACTTCACAGGAGCATATATTGTGAAGCTGTGTTGTGATTATCTCTCACCTTCTTTTCACATCAGTTTAGACTAACTCCCATCTAATTTATAAAAGTAATTAAAAAAAATTTTTTGATTGATTGATTTATCAAGCATGAAAAATAGTTAATGATCAGATTTTCTTATCAAAACTTAATTATTTTATCTGAATTTATCTTTTTAAAAATAAATTTTTTTTCTTTTAAAGATAACATTTTCTTGTTTCTACTTTAGTATAATTTGGAAAAATATGGATTTTTCTCTACATTTATCAATTTGACCTTCAAGTGATTTCTAATTTTTAAATTGTATTTTTTTAGGCACAAATAAGAATACATTAGATTTATTGATGAGCACTTATTCGATATTGTAGCAGCTGCTTCCTTGAAAGATAAATCCAAAATTGAAATGCTCATTGAAGGACATAACATTACAGTTCATAAGGCACACAAAGATGACTGGGAGCACAGAATTAATAAGATTGTGAAACAATCCCGCATTCGCAAATAAAACAGCTCCGATTAAGTACAATATCACAGTGATCATGAATTGGTTTTATCATAAACTTAAGAAGAATTTTACTAAGACTACAACTTTGAAGTAACTAAGCTAAAATTAAAAATGAAATGCCAGCTATTTGCTGAAAGTTGGATCTCTATACAAGTACTTAAGAGAGTTTATGCAGATTAAAACACTGAATTCGAGGAGTTGGAGGAATTGTAGGAAGATTGTGTAAAATGTATAAATTTAAGACAAAATGCTATTGAGTTACTTGTAATTAAATCTTTGGATCTAACTTTTGAATAACTTATGAATGAGATAGAAATGCTTGTCTTGCCAGAAGAGTCGAAAAGCATTCTTCTGATTTAGCTCTACTCTCTACGTCCTTAAGTAGATATAAAGATTCCTGACTATGTTAGAGAAAAGCATTAATCACTACTCTCATAAGGAGAATTCAGCGAGAGTTCTGTAGTAAAGCATGATTAAAAAATATCATGCCTTTGTCTTGACGGAGGTGGAATAAGAGGCATTATTTAGCTTATTTTCCTAACAGAATTAGAAAACTTGACTAAGAAGAAGTGCTCAGAAATATTTGAATTCTTTGGAGGAACTTCAATAGGAGGTATTATTTCACTCGCCCTAGCCTCAGGTCATTCTGCATAGAGCTTGTTATATAAGTTTATTGGTAGCACAAAAAATCACATATTTTCATCTCGCCATTATATTCGTTACTTAATCGGAGTTAAACCAGATGGTGATGATTCTTAATTTAAGTACCCTTTATACGACAAGGAAGGAATAGAATCTGAGCTATATGATTTCTTCAATGATCTAAAAATTGAAGAATTAAAATCTAATGTGCTTATCACAAGGTAATTTCTTTTATTTTTGATTTAAATTAATTTTTAACTAAACAAAAGCTGTGAAATCTAAAATAATGAGCTAATACCAGTTGTGTTCACTAAGCTGAATAACGTTTGTGGAAAACAAAATATTATAGGAATACATCCTTAGCTTGAAATTGATACAAGTTACTCAAGTGTAAAAGTAAGAGATATTGCAAGAGCAAGTTCTGCAGCCTATCCATTCTTTGCAGCTACTGTAATAAATGGTTCACCATTTGTTGATGGCGGTTTCCTATTTAATAATGTCGATATTTTGGTTACAACCTATCTTTTGGGTAGAGGATACAAAGTAAATAAATATATTTTTAAATTTTTATTTTTAGTTATAATAATCTCAATTAAAAAAATTTTATTCAAACTGTTAATTTATTAATTTTTTTTTAATAAACTAAGAAATAAAATATTAAGATGCTCAGCCTTGGAAATGCACCTAAAGAAATAGCTTCTTCAAGCAGTAATCTAAATTAAATATTTCTGAATTTTCTTAAAAAAAACTATTTTAATTTTAATAGATGGATTAGAACACGCAAGGACGGCTATTTTAGGACTTGTAAATTCTTTAAAAGGAATGGCCAATCCGGAAACATACTACGAATAGTACTTTGCTATGGCAAACTTAAATTTAGATCATAGCTTGCAAGAAACTAAAAATTCTCTTAAAGAAAATTACATCAGACTTGAACCTGATTATAGTGGATAAGTAATAAGCTTAGATTCAGTAACTGCTGATTCTGTTAATAAGTTAAAAACTATTGGGGTCAACTGGATAAATCTGAGCAATCAAAATAACGTTTTTAACAATATATGTGATGTTATTTTTGAGAAAAAGATATCTATCTTGACTGAAGATCCTACCATTTAAATCATGCCAAGATATTTTAGCTATAAGGATTCTTATGAAGAAATTGAAGCTGCTTTAAATGAACAAAATGATGAAAAATGGAAGAGTAGCTTAATGAACTTTGTTTTCAAAGATAAATCACAAACAGTTATTGAACCTAAAAGTATTTTCAATAGCATTAAGCAGTACATCAGTAAAACAGAGTTAGAAGAACATCAACTTCTCAACCGTGCATCAGCAATAGGTCACATTCCTTCTATCAAAAAGATCTTAAAAGATAAAGATTAAAATCAGAAAAAAGAAATCATTCTGAAAGAATCAATTAATTATTGGAATTCTTTACATTTTGCTGCAGCAAATGGTGAAATTGCCTCTTTTGTATATTTGTTGAGCGTTTTACTTCAAACTGATCTCTTCCTACCTAAAACAAACAGTGAAATACCAGAAAGAATGAAAAAGTGTCTTTCAAACATCTAATGGATTTCTATTCGCTAGAATATCAAGACATTCCTTTATGACAAAATGTCTAAAAATTTGCCATTCTCTAATGTGTATGGTCCTATTTTTAATTACCATTAAGTTGATACTCTTCACTTGGCTATAGAAAATAAGCAAGAAGCTTTTGAAAAGCTAATCAACTTATTACTTTCTGATTGATTTTCAAACTTCTTCACAAGCAAACTTAAAACAAACACCTACTTCTATAATAAAATCAAATATTAAAAAGAATAAATCATTTATGTTAGAAATTCAAAATAAAAAACAATTGTTTACTTTATATAAATTATATATAATTTTCTGTCACTTTTTATAAGACTTTATAGTAGAAAGCTAGAAGTTACTTCAATTTTAAAAATAATTATAAAAATAAATAAATGATAACATTTTTAAATGGTTAAAATAAAATCCATTTGAGCTACTTTCTAAAAATGAATACTTCAATTAAAATATTATTAAATTGAATAATAAATTCTATTAATTTAATTTTATTTATAATTTTTTAAGAATATTTAAATCCTTAAGCTTCTATTTTTAAAATATTATTTTAAGATTAATAAAATAAAATTTTGTTTTTAGTAATATCTAATTATTTATATTAAATTTTAAAAACTAGTTTACTTTATTTAATTTTTAATAATGTTTTACTTATTTAAAAATTAGTATTTTATTTTAATTTTTCTAAAAATATCTTTTTTTTTTTGGTAACAACACCAATTTTTTCTCTTTATTAGCATGATTCAATTAAATATTTTATTTTTCCTTTCATTTTTCTTCTCTATTTTTTTATTATCCTAGAGTTAAGATTTCAATAAATTTCATGTTTAATTGTTTTTTTAAATGATTTATTTCCAAAAAATTTTGATATATTAGTTAAATGGAGACTATTTTTCTTACTCAACATATTAAAAATTATGCATTTTTAGAGGAGGTATTTTAAATGTATAATATATAAATTTTACAACTTTTTAATAGATATAAATATTTTAATCTTTCTAGTATTATTTTTTACAAAGAAAAACAATTAATTATTCATTTTTGTGGCTCAATATTTCAGATTTTATTAGTTATTAAATTAAAAAAATTATCTGGTGATAACAATGATTTATCTTAAATCGTGAATTAAATTTCATTTGATTATTACAAAAAAGATTTTGGTATAAATTTCATGAGGGAGATAATAAATATTTAAATAGGAAAGGGAGGGAACTAAATAGGTTTAGATTTTTGGGAGGCATTACATATAGAGCATTCTTTAGATCCTTATGGAGATTTAAATCATTCTTCAGATTACTAAAAAGAAAAATTTAATGTCTACTTTTTAGAAACTATTAAAGGAAGCTATTGTGCTAGATCTATTTAAGTAGATTCAGATCCTGATTTTATAAATGAAATTTAATAATCCTATATACAAAATTTATTTAGCTAATCTAGTTTTATCTATGGTAACTCAAGCTCAAACAATAACTTCAGCTAAGGATATAGTTAGCTTGAATTGTTAGATTAAGTTCAAGAAGAAATTAGATTATAAGCTGAATAATCAGAGTGTCTGCAAGGATTCTAATTAATGCGTAGCTTGGGAGGAGGAACAGGTAGTGGGTATGGAAGCTTAATACTATAAATGTTAAACGACCTTTATCCAAAAAATATGATATCAAATTTCAGTATATTTCCAACTCCTGGAGTTAATGATATAATTGTTGAACCATATAATGCAGTTTTATCTATACCTGGATTATATTCCTAATCAAATTTTTGTTTCAGTTTTCATAATGGAACTCTAAATAAAATATTAATGAAAATTATTGGTAATAATACTCCTTCATTAAAAGATTTGAATACAATAATAAAGTAGTCCATTTCTGGAGTGACAGCACTATGGAGATTTCCATCTTAAATATCCAATGATATAAGAAAATTTGCTATGAACTTAGTACCTTTTCCTAACCTAAATTACATCAACATTTCCTTGCACCTTTGTATAACAAAAATTACAAATCATAAAATGAAATGAGTTTATTAGAAATGAACTAAGCTTTAGAAAATAATAGAAATTTTATGAATCACTCTCTAAATACTGAGAAATTAGTAGAGTTTTCAAGTAATTATGTTTTTAGAGGCATTGATTAAAGGAAATATAATATCTAAGAGGATATGGCTAATTTGTTAAAAATTAGTAATTAATCATTTTGGATTCCTGATAATAAATAGCTGATATAAATTAGTTAAACATTTTTAAATTAGCATTAATAAGCAGCTTTAAAAATTTAAAGTGGGTCTTCAGTAAAAGAAATGCTTTAATCATAATTAAACTCATTTAATTTTTTGTATAAAAGAAGAGCATATCTTTCTTTCTATGATAGGTTAGATGAAATGGACTTCGTAGAAGCTAAAACAACTTTAGAAAATATTATTTCTGATTATAATGAATTTGAAAATTGCAAAAGTAACTGTGAAATAATAGACGAAACACATAATCAAAATAAATTATCATAATTTGAATAAGACTCTAACTGCTTTACCTCTCTGAATTTCTGATATTGTCTTAAATAATAAATTTTAAAGTTAATTTCTTGTTTTAGAAAATTTCAAATATTTATTATTTATTAAATTTTATATTTTTTAGCTAAATATAATTTTATTTTTAAATGAATATATCCATATAAATTTTATTCTAAGTACAATATCTTAAGCTTTTGGCACTAATTAATATGACTAAATAAATTTCTATTAATTTGAATAGATAAATATAATTTAGAATAGCGTTTATTGGTTTAAAGTAAAACATATTTGATATTTTTTAATTATTTTGGAAGAAATAATGAAAAACTAGAAATAAATACAATTTTAGCAAAACATTTTTTTATTTTTTTAAAATTATATACAAATAAGCAAGTAAGTGCGCTCGCTGTATTACTGAAAATATTTCTTAACTAATATTTTTTAAAATTAATGATGATTTATTTTATGTTGTTTAATTTGTTTTACTTTTTTATATTTGATTTTAGTTTATTAATATTTTCTTTATTTATCTGATGGTCTTAATTCTATATTTAATTTTATTTAATATCTATTTATTTAATTCAAATAGACTATTAAATATCATAAGTAATTAATTGAATACTTATATTATTAATTTGTACAAATTTCGAAGATTATAAAATGAGGGAAATAATAAATTTATAAATAGGATAAGGGGGTAACAAAATAGGTCAGTGTTTTTGGGAATCTCTTTGTACAGAACATTAGTTAGATTAGGATGGATATTCAGATAAGATGAGTGATTTCTAAAGAGAATAAATTGGTGTTTATTTTGATGAACAAAATGATAAAAGATATAAAGCGAGATCTTTGCTAATTGATGGAGATCCAAATTCTATTTTTTAAATACAATAATCTAGCTTTGGAAATCTTTTTAATAGTAATTGCTTTATATAAGATTAATGGAGTGCAGCCAATTGTTTTGGAAAGGGAAGATAATTTTATGAATTAATTGATTTAGTTATGGATTAAATCAGAATATTAGTAGAAAAGAGTGATTAAATGCAAGGATTTTAAGTAATGCGTAGTTTAGGAGGAGGAACGGGCAGTGGACTAGGAGATGTATTATTATCTAAATTAAGAGAAGAATATCCAAACTAAATTATTACAAATTTTTGCATTTTCCCATCTTCATAAATAAGTGATTGTGTAGTGGAGCCTTACAATTGTGTATTAAGCTTGCCTGGTCTTTTACAAAATTAAGATTTATGTTTTTGCTATGATAACAAGTCCCTTTATAATATTTTAAAAAATTTTATAGGTAAAAATACAAAAGAATATAAAGATTTAAATTAAATAATTAAGATTTGTATGTCTGGAACTACTGCTCAGTGGAGATTTCCATCCCAAGTTTATAATACTATGAGAAAATTAGCTACTAACATGGTGCCTTTTCCATAACTCTTATTTTTAAATACAGGAGTAGCACCTATACTTCATCATGAGTTTGTCACAAATAGATCTCTGAGTACAAAGGAAATGATTTCTATGCTTTAAAACAATAGAAATTCTGTGAATCACAATATAAACTAAGACAAATTAATTGATTTTGCAAGTTTGTATATTTTTAGAGGGATAAACTAAAGTGAATAAGAAATATTGGAAGAAATATAAGATTAATAAATTAAAACATAATACTACATTCCAGATAATTAAAAAGTATATTAATGTAATTAGACATTTAATAATGAATTTAGAAATAGTGCTTTAAAACTTGAAAATGGAACCTCTGTAACTGAAATACTGTAAGAGCAGCTTTAAAACTTTTCAGCCTTATTTAAAAGAAAGGCATTTTTGCATTATGGTTTTGGAGATACAGATGAAATGGAATTTACTGAAGCCTAGTCATATCTTAATGATATTTTAGATTTATATAATTAACATTAAGAAAGTGTATATGACAATCAATATAGTTTAAAAGATTAAGAAAATTAAACAGATTAAAAAGATACTTTCTAAGAAATATCTAATTAATTTGTCTCAATAGACTTTCTTTACTGATAAAACACTTAAAGATAGTTTTTTATTATAAAAAAATTAGAAATTAATGAAAATACTTCATATTAATACTACTCAAACTTATATAACAAAAAAAGCTTTCAAATATTTTTGTTGTTCAAATAAATAAATAAACACAAATAATTAGGAACTTTTTGAAATGATTATAAATAAAATTTCTAAAATAGTTAATACATATTACATAAATGAAATAATACTGATTAATAGATTTTTTATTTATTTAAAATAAAAGATATAATTTGATAAAAAACATTTTTTATCAAATTTGTTATTATTTAAAGTATTTGCTAAATTTATAATGTGAAATTTGTATTCTTTAATATTTTTTTATTGGAAAAAATAAAAATAGATAATTTATATTACATAAATAATACAAATAAGTAGATTTTCTTTGTTATAAAAAAATTAATTTATTTGATTAAAAGGTTTCAAATTAATATTTATATTAATTAAATAAAAAAATATTATTTAAAAGTTGGTATTTTAAGTTTTCAAAATATTTTTAAAGTAAATTTTAGAAAAGAAAAGCTTTTTAAAAAAAATTGCCAATAAAACAAATGATAAAAGTTTTATCATTTACAAAATTAGCTTTTTAAGATTTTTAATTTAGACCTTAAATTTTTACATTTTTTTTTTTGGGTTTTGTACTTGAGAAGCTATTGTGACTATTTTTTTTTGATGAACTTTTTGTCTAATTATGCCTTTTGAATGAGTAAATAAATAATTTAATAAAAAATTAATTTAATCTTTTAATTAAAGCATCTACTTAATATTTTATATCTGAATATTAGACTCTCTTTTTACTATTTATTATTTAATAGATTGTAAGCAAGATACAAATAAATAAATAATAGCAGTTGATACTTGAATGTATCAAAAAAACTTTAAAATATGACTATTAAGAATAGAGATGTTTATTATAAATTTTTGCATGTAAAGTTGGTTTACTGATAAAAACTTAATATAAAAATAAATAGTGGTAAAAATAATTAAGATTAAGAGTAAATTTGTGAGATTCTGATTAATTATTTTTCTATGTTTGTCTAAAATTTATTAAGGATTTAATTAATTTGATAATCTAAAAAATTTATTAAATTAATAAATATAATTATTATAAAGTTAAATTTTTTCATAATTTAAAATAGATTAAAGTTTAAAATTATTTTCTAACGCCATCGCTATGAAAAAAAAGTATAAATTAATTTTATTTTTTAGAATAGATTTGAATCTGATAACTAAAATAAATATAGACAACGTAGATTTTTAATATAAAGAGTGATAGACAAAAATTAGAAAGAATTTACTTATTAAATTATTAAAATTTTCCGCGAAGAATATAGAAAAGAGAGAAAATATCAAGTTTTTTTAATCAGATTTGAAATTTTAATAAAAAAATTTTGATTAAAATACTAGTTAATACAAGTCCATTATTGAATAATTTAATTAATTCATAATAAATAAATCATAAGAAATAATATAAAAATAACATAAGCTATTTTAACAAATAAAATAAAGTAATAACTCAACAAATGAGAGAAATTGTTTGCATTTCAGCAGGTCAATGCGGTAACTAAATAGGATATAAGTTCTGGGAAAGAGTTTCTCAAGAGCATGGAGTCGAAGAGACTGGTCTGTATAACGGAAATAATGACTTATAGCTCGAGAGAATTGATGTTTACTATAATGAAGGCTCAAGTGGACGTTATGTACCTAGATCAGTAATGGTTGATTTGGAACCTGGTGTATTGGATTCAATTCGTGCATCAAAATACAGATAACTTTTCCATCCTGATAATTTCATTCACGCTCAAAGTAGCGCTTCTAATAATTGGGCTAAGGGACACTATTCTGAAGGTGCTGAACTTTAATAGGAAGTTTTAGATATTGTCCGTAGAGAAGTTGAAGGTTGTGACAGCCTATAAGGTTTCCAATTCACTCATTCTATTGGTGGAGGCACTGGAAGTGGTATGGGCACTTTGCTTATTTAAAAGCTTAGAGAAGAATATCCAGACAGAATTTTTTCAAGTTTTTCTGTTTTCCCATCCGTAAAAGTAAGCGATGTTGTAATTGAACCTTATAATGCTACATTGAGCATTCATTAGCTCATAGAAAATGTTGACTAATGCATGGTTATAGATAATGAAGCTTTATACAATATTTGCATGAAAAATTTAAAGATTGAACACCCTACTTATGGTGACCTCAATCATATTGTCTCTGTAGCTATGTCTGGTGTTACTTGCAGTATGAGATTCCCTGGATAATTAAATGCAGATCTCAGAAAATTGTCAGTTAATTTGACTCCCTTCCCTCGTTTACACTTCTTTACAGTTGGAATAGCTCCTTTATATGGAAGAGGATAGGCTTAGTTTGCCAGTAAATATGATGTTCCTGAAATTCTTTAGCAAGCTTTTAATCCTCACAATATGATGTGTGCTGCCGATGTTTCTCATGGAAAATATTTAACAGCTGCTCTTGCTTTTAGAGGAAAAGTATCATCATATGAAATCGAAAAGCAACTACTAAACTTCTAACAAAAAAATAGCAACCGTTTTACAGAATGGATTCCAAACAGTATGAAGCTAAGTATGTGCGATATATCCTTGGAATAAGTACCAAGAAGCGCTGTTTTAATAAGTAATAACACATCGATATAAGAAGTATTCAAAAGAATAAATGCTTAATATACAAGCATGTTTAGAAGAAAGGCTTTCGTTCACTGGTATTTAGATGAAGGTATGGACGAAATGGAGTTTAATGAAGCAGAAGCTAATATGAATGACTTGGTGAGTGAATATCAATAATACTAAGATTCAACCGTAGACAGTGAAGAAGAAATTGACTTAGATTAGACATAGGCAACATTTGGAGAAAGATAAGAAAAACAAAATAAAAAATGTAACTCAAAATAACAATCTAATATTGCTTCATCAAATGAAATTTGATGAATTTAACTATAAAATTTACTAAAATATATTATAATAAATAATTAACAATGTACATAATATAAAACAAAATACTATTTAATAATAAATTTATAATTATATATTTATAAAAAATTCATTTTTCGTTTTATTAATAATTAATTGATATCAAAATTAACTCTCTCAATTATCTTTGATTAAATTTTTTATATTTTTATTCTTTCTTTGAAATTTAATACAACATAGAAAAATATATCAACATTAATTTTGAAAAATTATTATCAAGTAATTAATTAAGAAAAAATAAGGTAAACAATTAAACACACACAATCAATAATTTCAAAATTAAAACATAATAATTTAATCATTAATATTAAGTTAATTGTAAATCCTTACTTTTTAGTTCAAAATAAAAGAAAAAAAATATTATAAATAATTTAGGTTAAAATTAGGTTATGAAAAAACAATATTGGTTAATATAAATTATAATAAAAAAGAATAAATTCAGATATTTAATTTTAAAATATCGTTTCAAGGATTAAATTTAATCATAAAAAACTCAAAATTTAGGAGGCATATTTTTTTTTCATTATTTAATCAAATAATACATATTTAATAATGAAATGAAAATAATTAAAGGCCTATGGTGCATCTGACTAAGGTTTAGAGTGTTTAAATCTTTCAAATTTGACACTATGGTTGGGTTATAAAGCAAATATTTAAAAATAAAAAACTTAAATTTAAGATATTACTACTAATTTATGATTCAAACATACCTTATAATCATTTTTAAAAAGAAAAACCTAAATTTATGATCTTGATGCTTCCGAATTTAGGTCTTCGTTTATCAAAATAAAATGTTTAATATTGCGCATTATAACTCTAAATATTTTGTAAAATAATTTAATAAGATTAATTAAAATGGTTTCTTTCTTAATTTTCTATCAAATTTTAATTTTATTGTTTCTCTTTTAAATAAGAATAACAAGTTATTTATTTAAACTTAAAATAGAGCAAATTATATAATTTAAGATCTTCATTATTGAAATGCTAAAAAATCAAGCCTAGTTATTTATAAATTTAATGTAAGAATGATTTCTTTATTTTGTTTTAGGTTAGAAATTATTTTAAAATTGGTTTTACATACATTATAAATAATAAATAATATTAGTTTGCATAATCTAGTTTTTTGATGATTTATTTATTTTTCTTAAAATTAATTTTATATCTTTTTTTATAAAATTAAAGGAAAAATCATGTAAATTAGAAATTACAAAAATTAATATTCAAAAAAAAGTTTCTTAATCTGAATAAACTAGTTAAAAAACCAGTTAATTTTTGATTGATTTGGCATATATTTGTATCATCGCAATTAGTTTATGTAATATAATTGAATTAATAACAATTAAAGCATATTTTTTATGTAGTTATTTTTAGTAAAAGTGCTTAATTTTACTTATAAAAATTATATTTTTAATATTTAAAACATTTCAGTTGTTATTTAGTATTTAATTTGTTAAACCTATTTAATAAAACATTAAATTTATATTAAGTTATTATAAACATTTTAAAGATACAACTAAAAAAATAATTTAAAATCATTCTGGCTTTTGTTGTTATTATTATCTTTATAAAAATCTTTCTTTTGCTAATCTTATTTTTTCTTCTTTAGAAAGCTTAGGCTCTTCAACCTTTACACTTTTTTAAATAACTTATTTTTCCTAACTTATTTCTTATTATCCACCTTATGGATTTATTTTATCAGAAGGTTCTCTTCTTGAGCTATTATCATCTTTATTCTTTTTATCATAAGATCTACTTCTATGTCTATCTTTTCTTGATTCTTTTCTATCTTTAGATCTACTCCTTTCTCTTCTATGATATTTATTTCTATCTCTTGAAGAAGATCTAGACTTTGAATCTCTTCTATCTCTCTTGCTTTTATGATCTTTATAATTTTCAACTTTATCTCTATTTTATTAACTTTTGGAATCACCTTCCCTTTGATACTAATCTTCTCTTACTGGTTAATTAGGTTATCCCATTCTTGAATATAATTCTGAAAGCTTAGGCCTTGAATCTTATTTAACTTAAATTTACTCTATATTTCTATCACTTTTTTACTCCTATTCTTGATTAAAACTTCTTTATTGATGAGCTTAAGGCTTTTAATATTATAGTTGTTAGGTTTGCTCTTTTTCTTATTTATTGTCTCTCTATTTATTTTTATCAATCATTTTAGTAATATCTACTCTACCATTTAAGCCTGCTAATTACTTTTAGAAAAAGCTATCCAAACTACCTTTTTACAATGCTGAATTTTTCTCATTCAATTATTCTTTTTTATCGTCATCTTCTAAAAATTTTTTGTTTTCCTCTAACATTTTTTTGTAAGAAGAAGTAATAAATCTTTCTTCTTTAAGACCTTCATTTCCTGTTCTATTTATTTCCTTTTCTGCTAACCTTTCTTATCTGATGAGGAATTCTCTGTCTCTTTTATCTTTTGCCGCCATTCTAATTCCTAATAAAACACTTTCTTTTTTTTCTGTTTTTTTAACTTAAGTTGCTTCTTCTCTGGCTTTCTTTATTTAATCATATTGCCCATCATAATCGAATAAATCAGGGTCTTCCATCATCAATTTCACAGCTTCGTTTGCTTCTTCCATTTTTTTATGCTACATTTAAGCATACAAGTGAGCCATATTTCCTCTGCTATTTGAGTTGCTCATTTTATATGAGTCTTACTCATTTTTTTTAGCCAATAAAGGGTTTTACATTTTATATTTAATTTTTTCAATAATTGCTAAACAAAATCAAAAAAGGTAAAAGTTAATTCTTATCGTAAATTAATATATGCTAGATGCATAATTTATTTGGAGTCTAATAAAACTAACATTTTGTTCAAATTCAAAGTTAATTGCTAGAATTAATTTAACCCTACAACAAAATGATATACAATTTAACAAAAAAACAAAAAGAAAACCTTTTATTTTAAAGAAAATATTATTAAGTATCTCTTATTAAATCAAAAAAGTAAAAATTAAAAATAACTATATAAATTAGTTTTAATATATTGAATATTTGTTTAAATAAACAATAAAAAAAAAATAGTTAAAAGTTTTTTTATAATATTATTTTGTAATTTTTAAATTTGATCTACATCAAATTTTGAGGCTTTGTTAAAAATAGATCACAGTATTTAAAGCTTGTGATAAATTTTAGTAAATTAAATGGAAAATATTATTTATTATTAATTTTCATAACATAGCTTATCATTGAAAACAATCATATATAATATTAAGTCTTTTGGGAATATTGCCAATTTTTAATCTTAATCATAAAAAATATATGTTTATTTATCAGAAATTAAATAAAGTTTAATTTTTAATAATGTTTGAGGTTAAATGTTATTTTAACAATTTTAAAATTTATATTATTTAATATATTCTAAATTTGGAAATATTTTCTTAAACATTTAAATAGTTATTAATTTGATTTAATTAACTATATTAGCAGAATAACAAAAAATAAAAAAAACATTTAAAAAATGAAAAATTATTTTTTTTATTTAAACAAATTAACTCTTTATTAGAAAAAATCATGATATTATTTATTTTATTTAAATTAAAATTAACAAATTTTGATTCCTAACTAAATAAAAAAATTTGTATAATATTTATGTTTAATTGGTTTAGGTATTTGATATTTAATTATTATACTTTTTGTGGATTTTCATAATTACAAAAAAATTATGATTGATGACTTATACTATTTTTAATGGTTGAAGAATTACAGCAAAAAGTTTAATTTATAAATATTTTCGAGGAATGGTTATTTATAGTTAAAAAATTTATAATTAGGGTAATTTAAATTGAGGGTATATCTTTGATTAATAGCTCTTTTAAACAAAATACATAATAAACTTTATTTTAATCTTAAATTTCAAATTACTATTAGGAATTTCTAGGCCATTTTATCATAACGGCCACAGGTTCATGAAATATTAAAACTCCTAGGCTAAACAAATAAAAATTAATATAGCTAATGTTTATAAATTATATAAAGATGAGGAATTTCAAAAGAAAAATGCCAAATAAAACTATCAAAACATATTACCATAAAATCAAATGATAGTTTAAGCAAAGGTTGATGAAAATCATATGAATTATCACAAATTTAGAGGTTAGCTATAAACGAATCAAGAAAAAAAGGAAAAAAACTCACAATAAGTGGTAATTATTAAAAAATAAGGTTCAGATGTAAAGATTCATTCATTTCAAACTCCTAGGACCACTATTTCTTCTACTTATACTTCAGCGACTATTAAATCTAATTTTCCAATAAAAAACTCAAGAAAATCAGATGAATTTTAAATTTTGACTCCTAAAAGTATGATTTAAAAAGAAAGAGCTAGCTCTCTTATAAGCGATAAGTACATGGAATATTCACAGAAAGGAAATGAAGTTTAGAAGGTTTAGGCTTTTTCTACAAACAGAAAACTGTATTAAAATTAGAATTTGATCTCAAAGATAAAATGCTTATTATCAAATTATAATAATAAAAAAGATAGCAATAAATTGTTTAAAACTCCTATTTAAAAAAATTAATAAACTAAGACCGATTAGTCTTTGCAGAGAAATATTAAATCACTATACTTCAAATCCTAGGATGAAATAGAAGATATTGATTAAGATAATGAAAAATAAGTATGCAGAATTAATAACTTTATCTAATAATAGTAACCATAAAGAACGAATAGAAGTAATTAAGCTGATAATATTATTTATTCAATAAAAAAACAATAGTCTCAAAGTTAGGATACTACACCTTATATTTCAAAGTTATGTTCAGAAAATGAAATAGCTCCAGAATATATAGATTCTAAATTTTGCAGTGTAAATGATAAGCTAGGTTCTTAACATATGATTTATGATGATGCATCTGATAGAAAATACTAAAGATTCTCAGGAAATAAAAAACTATCAATGTGTGAAGCAATTAGCAATTATGAAGCTTTTTCTAATGAAAACAGATTGTCTGACATCATTAGAGGAAAGTCTAACGAGAGTTCTTCTCCTAGAAATGCTTCTCAATAAAAATAACTTGCTGAAACTAATTAGTTTAAAATTAAATTACTTTAAAATCTAAAAGATCAAATGGAGGTGTAAACTGACTTAAGCAATTGCTTTTAAAATCCTTTAAAAGCAAGCAGATAAGAAAAAAGAATATCTTAAATGATGTCAGCTAAATTAGTACCAAATACAATATCCTCAAAGGATTTATAAAATATTTGTGAAAACAGATAGCTAATAAAGAAGAAACCTTTCTCTTCTCTGCAATAATTTCTAGAATCTAAACTTCCATATGAATAAGTATTAGAAAGGTAAAAGCAAGAAATATTAGTAGAATAAAATGTAAGAAAGTCGATATAATTTATATCTAGAAATAGTCCTAATTGTAGTAAATCTAACACTCCATCTCCAATAAGATAGGAATATTAAGATCAAACTCCAATTTCTAATTTTATTTTAGAAGATAATTTTTAAGCTTCTTTTTAAAGCAAATTTCATCATGGTTTTAGTACTCCTTTGTCTCCAAAAAAAAGCTAAAGGGTTAGCATAGATTTTAACCATAATGCCTTTGAGCTTGACTATGGAATTAATTAACAAATAAATGAAGATAACTCAAATTAAGATGAAAAATAATAGCAAATATTAAGTAAACTTCCAATTCATAATAAATATAGCTCTTTGAAAATTTCTAAAAGTGTTTCTAATTTCACTAAGAGTCCATCTATGAGTAAGAAAAAAGAGATAGATTCTCCTATTAAAAAATAGAATTTACTATCAACCTATATTCCAAGTAGCTTAATAAAAAAGAAATGCGATTTAGAAAAAAATATTAATAAAATTAAATTTAAATCTCTATTGAGCTTTGCAGAATCATCTAATTAGGCTATTTTTGAAATTGAAAAAAATTAAAATCTTAAAAATGTGATAGATTAAAATTTAAAAAAGCTTTCGCCTTATAAGTAAAAAACAAATAGTAAAATTTTTAGATTCGAAACTAATAATACTGAACCAGAATGCTATCAAAATAATGACAATAAGGAGATATTTTATTCTCCAAGATCTTAACAATAATTTAAATGAGAGTTTAATTTTTAAGTATTCATAAATAATTTTAATTATATATTTATGTTAATTAAGATTAAAAGATTTAAAAGTGAAAGAGATTCAATAAAGTTTTTAAAATAAAATTGAAAAAAATAGAATATTTAACTATATAAATGAATTTTAAAATTCATCTTTGATGCTATAAAATAAATTTCAATTCATTTAAAAATAAACCTTAAAATTGCAATTAAATACTTTTGGCTTTCTAAATTAAAGGTTACTATTTATTAAAATTATTTTTAATTTTTATGAATTAAAAAAACTTTTATGTTAAAAAATGATATATTTTTTATTAATTAAAAATAAGAAATTACAATAATTGAATAAATCAACTTTTTTATAAAAAGTAATAAAATTTTCAAATGAGAACAGATATAAATATTGTTAAATATCACAACTTAGAAAAATTACTTTTATTTTATATTATTAATTTATTTTTTCTTTTCATTATAATACTATATATTGGATTTATAATGTTTTCTATCAAAAAAATTATTAAATATAAAAAATTGAATATCATCAGCATTAATGAGGCTATGAATCCTAATTTTAAATAATATTAGATATCCTTTTCACTATAAACAACATTTACTTAATTTATATTGTTAAAGTTTATTATCAAAATAATTAATACCCATGCTACTGATAATAATATCTCTCCAAATGATTTTATCAACTAGACATATAAATACTTATAGGGTCTTATATAGAGAGTTAAAAGTCCTATAGAAAAATTCAATGTTAACCCTAAATAGCACACTGTTGAAGGATGATTTGATAAAAAGTATATAAAAAATAAAAGCAATATCTTTTTCATTAAGCCAAGAAAATAGTAATTTTTTACTAAATAGTCAAGTAAATTTATATTATTTTTATTTATTTTTAATCTTTCATAAAATATTTCTAGAGATGAGGTTTTGTAATCAAATGATTTTGAATTAAGCTTCTTAAAAAACCAGATATAGGAATGTATTAATTGGTACAAAAAAACTAAAGCTGCATAAAAGCTCCACCTCGAAACGAAATTCGATTATTATATATCAGAGAATTAAATAAAAACCGACAAAATTAGCATGAGTAGATTAACTTCGTTTTCTGCGCTTAATCTTTTCTTTAAAAGATCTAAAAATTTTTAAATCTTCTAACAATTATTTTTATTCTTTAAAAAAATAAATAAAATGTAAGCAAATAAAAGAATCAGATATTTAATAACTATCAATTCGCAATTAATAAATATTGAGTTGCTAAATCCTAATTTATTTAATTGTATTTTTGAGCTTCCTTAAACATATTAATTTAAATTTATTCCCAAATAAGAATAACTTTTATTTTAAACAAAAGATTAGCTATCTTCAACATGCCTAAAGACTTATTTTCCAAAACAAGCCAAAAACTAATATAAATTTGGTGGATACTAAACATCTAGAAGCAAGAACATAGCAGTAGGTTAAACTGAATTTATTATATAGAATATTATCTGAAATTTATTTGTTAAGCTTACAAATTACTAATTTTCTATAGATATTTAATCAATAGGTATTTGAAAGTTGTATTTTAAAAGAATGGACCAATCACAAAACTCAAGGGTTTCTTACTGTAAATCGGATCTAGGGCATACATAAATTATTTATTATAAAAAAAATATGTCTGCTAAAAAAGCAAATAGCCATCTGTTTTTTAAATATTATTAGGTATTTGTAAGATAATTGTTAATTACTAGTTATTTTCTGAGATAAAATATCTTTAAATTTAGTAAAGATTATTGTTTAACTAGTTTATTTACAATTAGAATAAACTATTTATTCCTTAACCTTATATTCTTTATGGTAATAAATCTATTGGATAATCAAATTTAATTACAAGTTAATATTAATTGTTGACAAATTATTGATTAAATTATATCTTCATGAGTGAGTAGCATTAATTTGAGTTTATTGGCATAGTTAAATTGTTAGGGCAAACACATTCATTATTTTCAGTTAGTTTTAAGTTAAATAAACAGCTGTTGCAATTAAACTTTAAATTACCAAAGCAAGTAGCACATGAGTAAAAGCATTTTTCACACTTTTTCTAAACTACATCATAATAGAATCCTTCTTGACACTTTTAACAATTTTCTTGCGATGGATCATCATAAAATCCTTCGCCACAATTACAATCAGGAGGATATAATCTATCTCCTCTGCATTGAGTACACTAATTATTTTGATTACATTGTTTACATTTATTGGGACATATTTTAGGAAGGCAACTATTGGTAATTTAATCAAGGTAGTACAAATCAGGATTACAGTTACATTGAGGAGGATTTATCCTAAATTAGCTACATGTTAAGCAATAATCTGGACGATCTTTACATGAAGAACAATTAGAATTACATTCTAATTTAATTATAATAAATTATAAATTAAAATAATTTAATTAAAAATATTTTACATCTGCAAATATTATCTGAGTCTAAATAATAGTCATTATACTGACACTTGCATGAAGGCGGTATTTATAAACTATTTTTGCAGGTAAGACAATTATTTTAAGTTTAAGCACAAGTCAAGCACTATGAAGAGCAATCTATTTTGTTAAAATATATTACTTGCTTATATTATACTATAAAAAATATTTTTATAATTTACATTTACAAGAATTTGAGTCCTATTATAAAAACATTCCATCAGGACATTAGCATTTAGGTAGAACCATTTTGTTATCAATGCATTAAATGCATAACTTTGTTTAAATATTTATATTTACACAGTTTGGTATAAATAAACCAGAGTTTTAGCAGGTTTTAGTGTTTTCATTATAGTATAGAAGTTAATCATTTAATTTATTGTTTTTATTGCAGTCATTTTTAGGTATTGCAATACCATCCTTAATTACATAGTCTTTTTTTGGGTAAATGCATGTCATATTTCTACGATTTATGTATATAAAACATGGATCTTTGTTATCGTAGCTCAAATAATAAAACCCACCTAAAAAAATTTATATCCTACTAAAGAAAATCGGATGATTATTTGATAATGGCTTTAGATAGAAATTTGAATATTGATCACCTAGTTTAATATCATAAAATATTGGATTGCCACTTGTTATAAATGGCAACTACATTTCTATTTCATCAGATATATAATTACTCACTAAATTAAATTTAACTATTACTAAAGAGCTTGAATATTCCAGATATGAAATTTTAAAAACTAAGAATTATGTTAAAAAAATAAATTTAATATTTTAAATATTGATAGTGAAGTAAGGTATTAATTACATAAATTGTTTGGCTAAGAATAATTGATTTTAGACTTTTAAAATCTCTTGCAGTTATAATCGTAAGTACATACTTCTAAATAATATTTTTATCTTATATATTGATCGGTCTTTATTCTAAATATTATTTATGCATTGCTAGAGAGTACAAAAGTTAAAATGTTGAAATAGTAATTTCCACATTAGCTATAATCAATTGGTTTTATTTAAAGCATAAAAGAGAAAGGTACTTAATTGATTTTATTTCCTAACCTTATAATACTTTCATTCTGGGGTGTCATCATCATTCCAATTTGATCATCAAAAACATAATTATTATTAATAAAATTAAGAGTAAGTGAAGAGTCTCCTCTATTTGAAAGTGCTAATTGCTTTTACTGTAATTCAAGTTAGTAATCCAATAAATTAAAATCGACAATCATATTCGTGTCTATTTCTGAAAATTAAATTAGCTCATTAAAAAAGTTTCTCATGCTATTATCACCTTTTATACAAAAAAATTAAATAAACTGATTTAACTATGATTCATTTTTATACCTTTAATAATCCAATTATTATCTCCTATCAATCCACAAAGAGGATATCCGTTTTAAAATAATGGAGATTAGATTCCAATAATTAAGTATGGGTCATCGAGGTTATATTTTATTATATTTTTTCTACTGATTCTATAATATGAAATTTACTAGTACTTGTATTTTAAAGCTAAATTTATCCCAAGAGAATCATAATAAAACCCAATCCAAGTATCGGTATCTGCTTCTATATAAGCTTATAAAATAATATCATTGTTATCTACAATAAGCTTAAGCTATAAATTATTCTATGAATTAAATTATGAAATAAGAGAGAAAATGTGAGTATTTTTATTCATTAGATAGCAAATTGTGTAAATATTTTGTTAATTTAATTAAGATATCTTTAAATTAAAATTTAATGTAAAAAAAAAAGAATTCGATTCCCATCCTAACCGTAAAGCATTGTCTCTCACCATAAAATTTTACAAGATATAGATATTTGATTAAGTTGAGCAAAATATTTAATTACTATCTATCAAAAACATTTAATTTTATCTACTTAAAATATTTAAATAGTTGGATATGCACTATGTCTCATTGTCAAAGCTATTTTAATCGCATTAACCTAAAATATTTTAAAGTGAAAGAAAATTACAAATTTGAATGAAATAAATTTATTTGTTACCTTTAAGATTTTAAGAATATAAATAGGTATCGCAAGTGAAAGGTGTTTGGCAAGATTTACAATAATAGAGGCAGTTTACACATTTATTAGAATGAATATCAAAATACTAACCCTCAGGACAAGTGCAGCCAGCTTATTAGAATAAATCTTGTCCATCTATTTTGCATTGACTTTAATTTGAAATGTCAAGTGTACATAAATTTGATGATGAACTTATGTATGGATAAATACAAGAAGGCTAACAAGTGTATATTTAGTCTAATTTTAAATAGTCATTTGAGTCTTAACATGAAAAGCAGTCTAAATTATTTATATAGATATTACATCCATTACATTATTAAAAAAAGCTTCCTGTATACAATTTAAAAGATTTTATTTAAACTATTTTATCAGTAAAATTAGAATTCAACGGAACATTTATAATAGAAAACGCTAAATATCTCCAATTTATATTATTAATTTGAGAACTGAAAATAAGTTGATTATCTAAATAAAGTAATCTCTCAAGATTACCAAAATTTAATTTAAAAATGATAGTTATACGATGCTATACATTTTATACAATAGCCTGTTATGGGCTATCATGTCTACCATAGTTTTTATCGACAATTAAATCATATATTCTACCTTAATCATATCTAAAGACATATAAAACTATAACTTATGGAGAAATAACATCTTAGTTTATTATAGAAAGAATACCATTATAATAGTTAGTGTCATGGGTGGTTACTAAGAAATCAAAAGATATTATAATTCCACTCTCTTCTTAAAAATTAATTGAATAATCTGAAATAAACTATCCTTTGCATTTAAATTAATAGTAAGGCCAATTAATCGAATCCACAGAATTAGCTGAATAGCAGGTTTAATATTCTGGAGCTAAATTATAAATTTATTGGTTTTTAGAAGATGCCTTTACAAAATCAAAGTAGTATTTTAATTTAGGTAGAATAGACATTTCTTATAAATTAGTTTAAAAGAATGGACCTTAAATTGAATTGTTTGATACTCCAACAAAAGCTAAAATCTATTATTTGTTTATTTAATTGATTAATTTAGTTATTATTATTAAAATTTGATAAAAATTACTTATTTGCTTATTGAGCAAGATCTACTATATGGATAGTAAACCTAAGACCCGTATAGAAACTCAAACTATTAATTATCAAAATATTAAATTAATGAATTTTACTAAGAGTCTTAAGAAATAGTGGATGATAATCCTGTAATCGCATAAAATATATAGCTTGCATTACTATTTTAGTCATTCAAATTTATCCCAATCTTAATAAAAAACCAATTATCTTAAATTGAATTTTTTTTTTATAAAGATATATCATATGGATTTAAGTTTTTATCTAAAATTTAACAGTAAATTTTTGATAAAAAAGGATTATATACAATTTTGATAAGGTTTTAATTTGGGTTATTTCTTGCTTGAATCAATAGATAATCTTAATTTGACTTACCATTCAAGCGATACCATCCTACGATTGTTAATTGAGAGATATTAGGTTATTAATCAGAAAGGAAAGTATTTCCTCTTTCTGATTAGTTATTTTATGACTGCTCGCAACTGAAATAAGATATTTAAGTTAAAATAGGCAGCACTATTGGGCAAGAGCATTTCACAACTATTTATATTAGAATATTTAATTAAATAATTAGTTTGAGGAAAATCATTTTTATGAGGATGCGTAATCCTTAAACTTATAAAATAGTGAGAGCAAATTACTTTTTGCAATTTTTTAGTTGACAAATATTTTATTATTACAATAAAACTCTTCTTCTTATTTTTATTAAATTTGATGCTTCAATTATATAAAATTGTTAAATAATAATTCCCATATAAATTGGAAAAAGATAGCCATGAATTGGAAACTCAAATTTTCTTAAAAATAAAATTCAAAAATATTGAATTGAGAATATAAAATAATTGGTTTTGTGAATGAAATTTAAGATTTTGATATGAAAAGTAAATTAAAATAAAATAAATCATTTAGCTTATTAAAAAATACAGGATCTTCGATTAATAGATTAGATTAGGTTTTGATTTTTCATTTTTTCATATTATTAAAAAATTTATAAAGTATTTTAAAAATACTGTATTAGATTTTAAATGAAATTAGATTAAATACAAATTATATACTGTAAAATTGATAATTTTCCTCTTTATTGAAGGATTATATTTATTAGAAGCATAAATTTAAATAATATAAATAATATAAAATATTCTAATTTAATAACTAATACAAATTTAAAATAAGGTATTATTTATTTATATTTAGGTGACTAAGCAGATTTAATTAAACTTTGTTTTATTTTTTAATTTTTTATTCATACTTAATATAATCTTACAATAAATATATTCTTAACATAAAATGATTAAATATAAAAAATAAAGAGTTTTTAAAAATGTTTTTATTCCAAAAATTTTAATGAGGATTTCATCAATTTATAGATCTTCTTTGAATAATTATTTCATTTTCAAGTAAAAAATATATATCTGGTAGTTTTATAAATATTGTATAGCTATAGGTAAAGTTTAAGTTTAAAAATCCTAAATAATTAATTTATTTTTATTTGTGTTTTTTAATAATCATTAGAATAATTTTTTTTAAAAATTATCCTGCTAATCTAGTTTATTAAGTCAAAATTATCAAATCTTCATACTTAGTTTAATAGCTTACTTAATATCCTTGAGCTAAATTATGAATGTATTTTTAGGTTATGCCTTTATAAAATTATAATATCATCATTGTTTTGAAAAGTGTAGTTTAAACAATAGACTTTATCTGAAATTGCTATTTAGCTTAAGTTTACATTTTTAATCAGAATAAATAGTAAAAACTATGAAAATAAGAAGAAAATAAAAAATAAGTTAAAATAAAAATAGAATGAAAACAAAATAATTAGTTGAATTTATGTCAAAAATACATGTAAGAAACTTTTAACTAAAATTAAGCACATAACAATTTAAATATAATATTATATATATTTTTCTAAATATTTATCAATTAAATAAAAGTAAGTAGTCGCTACCATAATTAGTTTTTTAATTACTTCTACTAAAAAACCTTCTTTATAGATTTAATTTGCTTTAATAGAAAGAAATGCATTTAAAATAATTAATCAGAGAATGAAGCTTAAATATTTGATTCTATTCATGGTTTTTACTTGTCATTTTTCTCTTAAAATATTTTAAAATTTACTCCTTGCAAATTAAATTTGATTATTTTATATAAAATTGCTCAAATCTTTTTGATAATTTGAACGATATCTTCATCATTAAGTTGATGGTCTTTACCACATACTTGAGGATTGTGCTTGACAGAAGTACCCCAAACTAATGCATATTTCATATCATTAATCATAGTTCTATGAATTCTCATACAAAAATCTTCAACTGTAGATTTCTTTCTGGGCAAGATAACAGGCTTTTCATAATCTATATAATTAATTAAATGTTTTTATAGTTGGTTAAGTATTTTTAAATATAAATTAATTAAATACCAGGAGCTTTGCCCTTAGGTTTAGTGTATACACGATAGAGATCTAAGTATTCCCACATACGTTCTATTAATTCATCAAGGTTCCATTCCAAGTGAGCAGAGATGGGAACATAATGAGGAATTTAGTCAATAATATCTAATTCTTCCATTGTAAGGTCATCAATTTTATTCATAACATAAAGGCATGGAATATATTTTCTATTACCTTCAATAATATCAATTAATTAATCTTCATTAATCTTTTCTCTAAAAACAATATCGACAGAGTTAATTCTATATTCCTTTAAAATGGTCTTAATCATTTCATCATCAAGGTCAGGATTTTCAACCATGTGAGTAATATTAATACCACCTTTTGGCTTAATTTTGAAATCAACTTTAGGAGGTTGTTTGTTTAATCTAATACCGAAACCTTCCAATTCACCTTCAATAATCTTTTTATGTTTCATAGGCTTTGTTGCGTCTAAAACTATGCAAATCAAATTACAAGTTCTGGCAACAGCAATGACCTTTTTAATACAAATATTAACTTAAATATAAAAAAAGTGATAAATTAATCTATTAATAAATTAAATCTATTTATTGCTATTGACGACTAATTGCTTTTAACTTAAAAAAAACTAGCTTAAACACATTTTTTACTCATTTTTTTTTGAAAGATTTCTATTTAAATGATCAAATTTGTAAAAATTATAAGCTAAAATATTAAAAATCTTCTGATCTAAATACAACTATTTTGTAATCTAATAATTGAAAATATTTTATTATGTATATTTTTTACCTATTTACCACGACCTTTACCATCCTTGGCACCTTCGATAATACCAGGTAAATCGAGCAATTAAATTTTAGATCCCTTGTAGAAGACATTACCTGGAATACAAGTTAATGTTGTGAATTCATAAGCAGCAATCTTGGATTCAGTACCAGTTAGCTTTGTTAAAAGGGTAGATTTACCGACAGAGGGGAAACCGATCATACCAACACGAGCATCACCACTCTTTGAGACATCGAAACCTTCTCCTACAGGACCTGATTTACCTTTACCACCTTCAATCAATTCTCTTTTTAATTTTGCTAATTTTGCTTTTAATTGACCCAAGTGATAGGAAGTAGCCTTATTCTTTTGGGTACGTTCCATTTCTAGCTCAACTTCAGCTATTTTCTATGCTGTTGTCATTCCTTATCAAATAACTTATTATAATACTTTGATTTTAGATTATGCTTTTCTAATTCTTCAGATTTTAATCTTTTGTTGAAATCTTTCAATTATTTCAAAAAGGATATTTGCAAAAATATAAACCTTCTTTTTTTTCTAAATTTATTTTTATAATAGCTCTTTTTCTTTTTTTTCGCATAATTTCTCTCTCTCTCTCACAATTTGTTATTTAATAAATAGAAGAAGAAGAATAATTCTAAAGAAATGTATAGCTAGTTCACACAAAAATTAATTAAGTGAAATGTGCTATTTGCCGATTTAAATTTTTTTTAGTAATAATAACAATTTCCATATTTTTTCAATGAAAAATATAATAAAAAACAAGCAATACTTATACTGACTAAATCTTTATATATTTTCTTGCATAATTTGGTTTTTTTTAGTTCAAAAATCTTTATTTTAAAATATTAAAATGTCTAAATAAAATATTTTTTAGCAAATTTAAAAATCTGTTTGATAAAATTTATTTAGAACACTTAATAATTATCTCAAAACATAAGAAAAAAAAAAAAATAAACCACTAAAATTTATAAATATTTAAAGAAACAAATTCAAAAAGTTTTAAGATGTTAATTTAATTTATTTGAACTCCAATAATTTTCAAGTTTTTTGAAAAAATTTTTATTTTAAAAACATAAAACTAATTGATAAACTATTTTATTGAATTATTTTAAGTTTAAAATATGATTTGGATTAAATATTTTTTTGAATTAATTAATTTTAACTTTAACTGGTAAATAAAAATTTATTTGAAATGCTAAATAAATATTTATACAAGGTTATTATTATATTATAAAACAGACTCAGACTACTGGATCTTGAGTAGGAGGAGCGTAGTTTTGATCTGGCATGACACCTTCTTCCCAGAAATTGAAGTATCTACTTTGACGTTCTCTATGGAACCAAATAACATCATGAGGATTTGGCTTATCTCTTAATTCATAAACTAAATTTTTAAAGCATGTGCTTCTTTTTGATTCCTATTTTTTAAATATTTTTAAAAGTAAGAATATTAAAAGCAAACATTCTTAGTGTGTTTAATTAATTGATTACTCTGATTTCTTTTTCTATTTATTCAATAGTTTTATATCCTTTCTTTAACTCTATAAGATGAGGCATAAGTTCTAATCTAATGGCTTCATTTAAAATGTTAATTGTTTTCTTTTAAGAAGGAGTTCCTGTAACAGCTAAAATTTCACCTTCCCAAGCATGGAAAGCGACGAAATCCCAATTTTAAACATCACCTTAAATGTAAACTTCATTTTCAACATTTGCATAACCAATATGTTGTAAAACCTTTCCAAATATTTCATATTATTCAAAAGGAATTTAATGCCAAGGAATGTTCTATGGTTAAATTAATATAAAATGTTAATTTATAATTTATTTAGGAAAATAATTTATTTACCAAAGCAAGAGTGTTGTAACCAGCAGTCATACCTTAATGATAAGCTGTATTCCATTACATGTGAGGATACTATAGTTTAAATTAAAATTTTAATAAATAAAATATTTTTAAATATTTGCTTATTTACTCTATCATTAGCGGCAAAGTAAGTAGCAACACCACCAGAGCCTGGAGCAAACATACGCTTATAGTCAGTTCTAAGATCATAATCACATCTTACTCTTCCAATATCGTCAAACTCAAATTAATCTAAATCATTATTTAATAAGAAATCATTATCAGCCTTAAAGTTGTTTGGCATTAATAGGACAAAGTCTGTTTCAATTTAAAGCTATTTAAAATAAATATTATTAAATTATTTTTTCATTTAAATTATTATTTTTTTTAATTACTCCTGAACGGAATTATATTTTTTTGGCTAAGTTATCATCACCAATAATCTTATCAACAGGATTTTTCATAACGAACTTAACTTTGTTATCTAAAGCAGTACTTTCAAATTAAAAAAATTATCATTATAATTATTTTTTTAATTCCAATTTTAATATTTTACTCTAAAATTTTTTTGTAAATATCCTCTCCGAATTCAGTTTTAATTACAGGATCTTCGTTTTCATCAATAACATAAATTTTAATGTGAGGATATTCTCTTCTAATAGTAGAAACACATTCCATAGCTCTCATATTGTTACCAAGGACTGTCTTTTTTAAAATAAATTTTATTTTAAAGTTTTTCGAATTTGTAAATATTTTACAATTGTTTTAGCTTTTTCTAGGTATTACTTAACTTTTTTATGGTGATCAATGTTGTATAAAAATGAAACATTATCTTTTTCTTAGATACCGTTAATATTTCTAACTTCAGGTTTAACTCCTGTGGCTATAATTAAACTATCATATTCTAATTTTAAGCCGTCTTCTAAAAGAATATGTGGGCTGTTGTGCTTTTTAATTAATAAAATTAAAATACATTTGTATTTTATTAATAAATTACTGTTTTATCGACAAAAGTAACTTCTCTACCAAGCATATAATTAACACCATGAGAATCAAACCAGTCTTCGTCACGAAGAGTTAGATTATCATAATTTAAGTACTTAAAAGATTTGGTAAGCTTAGTTTTATCATATGGCATCTTTGTCCCTTTTGTAACCATAATGATTTCACCAGTAAAACCATTCAATCTTAAAGATTCGATAGCACCAAGTGCAGCAGGTCCAGCTGTTATTAATATATTGAATATATATAATTTTGATAAAGTATTTAAGTCTAGAAATTACCTCCAATAACAACAACTTTTCTCACGTCGTTAATATCTCTAGAGGCAAATGCAGGAACCAATCTTTTAGGTACAATTTTAGGAGCATAAAGAATAACTTTACCATTTTTCTAGAATTTTTTATAGAAAGATTTAGATTATTCTAATTTTCAAATTATTTGTAAATTTTTAGATATAAAAATAGCTATTTTTGATCAAATAATCATATTTAGTTTAATCATTTTTTTTCACAAATCTATCATGATACCTCTTCAACGAAAAATCTAGGAAGTTCATCAATAGCAGGAGCGAGTTCAGGATGTCCATTTTCAATATTAAAAGCAGAACCATTCATGGGACTATAAAGCTTATTTCCAAAACAAATACCATCCTTCAATTTAGTTTTACCGTCATAAGTATCAACACCTTAAATAATAAAATGATAAATCAATATCTCATATATGTCAAGTTCATAAAAAGAGCCTAAAGAAATTTTTACCTCCAACACAATATAACTTTCCATTGTATCTAACAATAACAACTTCAAATGTGCCATTTTCGCCATCCTTAACTTAGAACTAGGTATTTAATTATTTTTAATACTTTAGAAAACCAAATGATTAAGTAATGAATAAATGTTACAGGATATATCTAACCTTCTTAAATATCTACAGAGTTGCATACTTCATACTATTTTATAAATTTATTTTTTGTTAATTTAGCAATAAAATCCTCATAACAACTATATAATTCAATTTATTAGTCAATTTATTTGTATCTCTTCAAGTAAATTAATTAATAATGACATTTAGTTTGGGTTAATAAACTTTATTACTCTTTGTAAATTTTTCATGGAATCGACTCTTTTCTTTCTCATTTCCTCTTCAAATTTTTGCTTTAATTCCTTTTCTAATTCTTCTTATGATTTAGCTTCTTCCTCGCAGTTTAAGTTTTAGGCAGCATATTTCCATGTCAAATGGATACCTGTTAATAGAATAACTTGCTTGGCGAAATTGTTTCTGAATTGTTATCTATTGAAAGCATTAAAACTATTTGTTGCTTTATTCTTCAAAAAGTTTGTAAAATATCTAGCTGAGGTTCTCATCTTTGTATTTGCTTCTACTTTTTAATATGTGTTTTTTCTCCCTTTCTAGAATAAATACTTAAATAATTTAACTATTTATGATATTATTCCTTAACCTTTATTAAAAAATTAAATATAAATAATTAAATATGTATCTTTCTTTCTTGTTAGTTAATTAATTAGGAATAATTAATTAATAATTAGTTTGATTTTATCCGAATATATTGCTCGTTTGTCACGATAGTAAACAATTAATTTTTATATTATGCAACTACATCTTTTTGATTAAAATTCATATCATTACTTTATACAAATTAAGTAGCATTAGATTTACAACTACACAATTACTATTTTCAATAAGTATTTCTACTCATCTAGAAACTAGAAAGATAGATAGATAGATTTTTCTATCTTATTCAATATTTCTACTTGATCATTTATTTATTTATTTATTTTTATTTTAAATTTAAAATCTTAATAAAAAATTATAAAATAGATTATTCTTAAAAATACTAATATCTATAGTTAGTTAGTTAATAAATACTTACATTTTATAGTTATTTTGAAGATATGTATATATTTTATATTTATTTATTTATTTATTTTGGTATATTATAGTTAATTTTATATTACAATTCAGTTCTCTCAATCGTCTAATTAGGTGAGAAGAGCGACACCACGCTTTATCCAGTGTCTTTGCTCTTTATCAGTTGGCAGTCTTATCCACATTACAAAGTTTGTGGAGTGACCGGTAGTACTAAGAGTACCTTTACGAGCTGAAGTTTTGTATACTGGGCAATTATAATGTTGAGGGGGTTTTACGTTCTTTACGTGGCATGGAACAAGCTATAATATAGGGCACTTTACAAAGAGAATCTTTGGATCAGACTCATCCAATAACATAGTTTCATAATTCCATTTAGAACCTTCTATGAAAAGTCCATATATAAATGCACCATCTTCAGGCTTATTTTCAATTTTTTCTTCTTTTATGCACTATTAAATTAGGATAATAAATTAAATAAAATTCTCAATAATTATAGCAAAGTAAAATGATATATTGAAAGTCATAATTAATTAATTACTAAGTAGTCGAAGACGATTTCATCAATAGGAATAGTATACTTTCTAGCATAGTTTTATAGAACACCTGTTAAGAAACTTTGTGTGAAATAGAAACCACTTAACCAGAATGACATAGGAGTTCCCTCATCAATCCAGTTTTAGAAAAAGCTTAATCTTTGTCTTAAATCTTTGACATATCCACCCAAAGGCTTGAGTGAAGGGTAACTATTACTCATCCACATTTCTGGTACTTTTCCGTCAAATATGCTCTTAGAAGCAGCTTCTAACTAAGGTGACATTAATATCAAACCCTTAAGAGCTTTCTTGATATCATTTAAAGAGCTCTTAATTACCTATTTTTTTAAAAAAAATTTAAATAACCATCAGTTAATCAAAAAAATAATTAATTAATAATTACTCTTATTAATTTGTTGAAACGAGTAAGTTCTTAGTTTAATACTGTGTTCATACTTTCTTCGTAAAGAACTGGATATTTTTCAAGGATTTGCTCAGTATTAAAAGGTTCAGGGAAGTCATGCAAAATGCTATCGCAAACACTATTTAATGTTTCTTCATATGAGTTTCCGCCTCCACCACCTTTTTAATAATAATTTTATTTTTTATTATAATATAAAAACAAACAAATTAAGTTTAAATTTACTTGAAGCTGAAGAGCAAATGAGTAGTGAATCAGTGAAAAGATTAGTTTCATTCATGTCTTTGGTGATATCAGCGTTAGTGTGGAAACCAAAGACATCTGGAGGAGTTATGAGTGGGAAATTGTCTTTAATATATTATATAAAGTCTTAGCTAGTTTCTACATTAGGTGGCTTATATACTGGATTGTTTGCAAATTAGTAATTTGGATCGTTAACAGTTTTATCACAGTAATAGTCTTCTAAAAGAGTTGTAATTAATCTTCTATCTTTATCATCAGTAACTCTACCTCCATAATTACATTCAGCTGTCAGATACTTTAGAGCATCATAAGGAATTTAATTTCCAAATTCATCTAAGAACATCTTCAGTTAACGAACACAAATACGTAAGTCTGACTCATTGAACTCATAAGATATATTCCAACCAAGAGGTCCATATTTTCTTCTTTCTTAGATTACAGCGTGGAAGAAACATAAACCAAATAGGAGCTTTTTGAATGCAGGAGAATTCTAGCATGTGTCAAAGAATTCAGATTTATTAATAGGATCAATGAGATAACTACCTTAGATATTGTTCTTCAAGCCTTTAGGAGGTTCATTAGTCATCTTTATACCAGCCTAAAGCACGGAAGTAGGGAAATCTTTTGAAGGATAAGATGTAAGCCATAGTCTGAATTCAGGGTTGGTGACTTTAGGATCTGGTGAAATCTCTTCGCATAGCTTTTCAAGAGTGGTCATCCATGTAACTGCTAAATGACAATTTTATAAGACGATCCAATCTCCAGATTATTAGCCTTCATTGATCATTCTTAAAGCAATTGGTCCTTATCCTTAACCAAGAGAAATAGCTATTTTTCATATAAAATTTTTTAATTTTATTTTAAATGTTATTTTTATTACCTTTTATATTCTTGTTTATCTTTTGTGCAAAAGCATTCAAACTTGCAAACGGATCAGAACCAGGAGATAAAACAAAAATAAGAGGAGTAGTAGCCAGAGAATCCTTATAAATTAAACTAAGATCAAAAGGAGGAGGTTCTATGAATGGCTGACCTAAATTATCTTTAATAAAGTCTTAAACTGCAGGAATAATTTTATCAGGACGAATGGTTCTTAAAATGCACAACTTTCCTAGCTTGTTCATTTTAGGAATGTTAATACATTATGGAAGAGGTACATTTTAAGGTTCATTTGATTCATATATTTATCTGAATTATTCTCCATTTGATGGATCCAATAACAACTATTTATTTAAATAAAAATTTTATTAATTTGTATTAAAAAATAGTTATATTTACTTTATAGAAATCTTAGAATCCATGTAAATCAGATAGACGGACAAGCTCACCCCAAGATTTAGCTGAAAGCCAACTAAGATGAGTAGGTTTTTAAGGAAGTTAATCGCTAAGGGCAATACCTCCTGTTAAAAGGAATCTCCAAAAATCGTTTATATTTTCCTCTCCTCTAAATTCTAGCAACCTAACACACAAAAGAGTGGAGAATACGAGCTTATCTTTTTCAAAAAGAGATCTACAAATATTTGAATACAATGAATACAAGAAATAATCCTTTAGATTCAATAATCTTTAATCAAAACTTTCTGATTATTCTGCATTGATAATACCTTTAATTTAAATAAAATTTTTTGACAATTCATCCAATCAAAATTTAAATTACCTTAAGTAAATAGATCTAAATAGTAAACCAAAGAATACTGATACATAGGATCAAGATTACCCAAATCTGAAATAGAGAAGAATAAGCAGGATGCTTAAGTTGATACAGGCTAGTAAGTTTGTCTAGCTTCATCAATTTCTTTTTCTGTCTTTTCAGCTATAATTTACTTTTCACTAATTTCATTTGAAGTTACCTTTAATTTATTAGTTATCAATTTATTTAAAGTTTTTTGTATATTAAATATGTTGATTTACCTTAGAAGCAGTTAATATATTAATGGCAGATTCATCTGTTAAAATGTTTTTGTTTCCAGATAAAACTTGCAATATCTTATCTTCTATTTCAGCTAGCTGTTTCTTGTTGCTAGCACCTTCTATAATAAGTCTCTCCTTTTCAGAGGCCAAATCAGGTCTTTCTTTCTTGACTAAAATACCTAACAATTAGTCATTTAATCCTTCATAAGTAATCATGAAGTTAAGGATAGTCACTTTTGTTGAAAGTTCTGGTAGATAGTGAGGATTTCTAAGCTTTGTAGTGATATAGAACCTAAAACGTTTAATATTTTTAAGAATAAAATCATTTCACTAAATTTTATAAAATTACCTAAAATCTTGAGAGTATTCAATCACACTTTCACCTAATTTTATATATTGAGTATTTCCTTTACTGAATACTTGCTTGAGTAATATTGGAGTTAGAGAAGGATCGAGATCTTCTCCAACATTTTCTAACAAAACAGGTTTACCAAATTGAATACTATTTTCTAAAGTTCTCAAATAATCACCATCAGTCAATTTTATGATACTAATTCCTCTAGATTGTTCCATTTTTTTAATCCACTTATTTGCTTATCCTTAGGGATCAATGCAAAGAGGCCATCTTCTAGATTTAAATACTATGATACCGTTTTCAATTGAGAAACTGTCACTAGGAAGTCCATCAATGTTCCAAGCTCTAATCTTTACTTAATCTCCTAGAACTTATACTAAGCTAAATTTATCACTTCTTGGAATATTTTTATCAGAGCATTTAAGGACCCACTCTTCAATTATTTATTGTCTATTTAATATTTAGTAAATCTTATTTTAAATTTGAATGAATAAAAAAATTATACCTGTAAGTAGGAGTGAAAGGGCCTAAATATGCTATAACACCAGATGAAATAATAACATCTCCAGTTAATAACGTGAAGAATTACTTTAATTTTTCAGCAAAGTCTCCCCATCTTCCTTTTTCACCTCCTAAGTTTTCTATTAATGTTTTAGCTCTTTCTAGTTGTTTTGAACAGTCTTCATATCTCTTTTCTAAATTTTGTTTATTATCTTATGTTATTTTTAGATCTTTATTAAGAGCATCAACTTTATCTGTAGCCACCTTAAGTTCTTTTTGCTTCTCGTAAAGTTAGGCATTAAGTTTTGACACTTTTTCATTTGATTCTTCAAGAGCAGCTTTTTTAGGCTTAACCTTTTTGTTGACAAAATAGAAGTCGTACATAGCTCTTACCCACATAAGCATAGAGTAGCAAACTGGTGAAGCTTTTTCTACTACACTCTTTTCTAAACTATCCTTTGCTTCTGGATCATTAAAGTAGGAACCCAAACTTTAAATTATCTTGTCCTCTATTGCTTCTTTATTATATCCTTTCATATCTTTAAGGAGTTGTGGGTTATTCAAAAGCTTTACTGAAGCAGCCCACCAATCAATCACAGTTTTAAGTCCATCTTTCTTTTTCTCAGTTGGATTTGGATAAAGAATCAAGCAGACAGCTTTCATAGTAGCTCTGATAGGCTCAACAGGATTTCTCATTTATTTCAAGAAATCAATATCGGCTTTTTAAATACAATTTAGTGCATTTTCTGCAGCTTCTAATGCTGGCATTGCTTCTGCTAAATCTTTTTCACAATCTTCTTTAATAAGATTAGCTTCATTAACAGCAATTTGAACAACAGCTTCTTCTTTCTAAATACCTATATTTTATCGATAAGTTGAAATAAAAATATATCAAAATATTTTTAATGTTAATTACCAGAAGCTAAGATATCTGCAGCAGATTTCTCCTTTGCTACAATCTTCATCTTTTCTTCAGTATCTTCAGCGGCTTTCTTTAATTTAGGGACCATATCTGTCAAATCAATTTGCATTTTACCTACAGCTTTCTCTGTTTCTATAATTTGATTATAACCATTTTCATACTTATCTATTGAGGACTTTACTTCTTTGCGTTTTTCAGCAAGTAAATTCTGGAAAGTAATGATCATTTCAAGATAAGAAGTAGGTGTTACATAGAATTTTCTTTTTAAGTGACTGTAGAATTTATTAGACCATTAAATAGTAGACTGATGGAAATACTAAACCATCTCTGTACAAGACTACTTTATTTCAACATCCATTTCAATTTTTTCTAAGAATTTCTTAGCTACAGAAACTAATGCATCCTTTTTTAGAAAAATTTATTTTTTAAGTTATTTTAAGAATATTTGATAAATTTACTTAGGGCCACTCGAAGAACCAATCAATTGTGCAACAATTAACTAGAGAAGGGAACATTCTAACTCTGTTTCTGAAAGCATCACCAATAGGAGAAAAGCAAAGCACAATATGTAAATTTTACTTACCTTTATATAAATATATGTTAAATATTAATTTGTTGAATGCTATAATTACATCTCTCTACGAAGTAAGAATATAGTTATTCTGGATGACCATCAGGACATTTTCCTTCTGCTTTGGAAGGTGCACGAACAGCTTCTTAAATTTCTGCCTTATCTTCTGCAGGGAAGAGATTTGGAACTTCGCAAGTATTTAGTAAGTTATTTATATCTTCAACAAAACCTTCTTATTTAATCTGTGAATCTGTAAATAAGAAGACAGTAGGTAGACCTTTTGCTCCTGCATTTTTAAGAACTTTTCTAAGGTCTTCTTACCACTCATTTTTACCATAAGTTTTACTGATTTCAATTTGAATAATTGATGCATCAACCATAGAACCTGCTAATCTAGTCAAAGATTAACGGCCAGAACCTCCAACACCAACTAATAGAGCGTTTCCCGAAGGTTATTTAAGTATTCTTTCAATAATTAACAAGTGTTCTATAGCAAATGAGAATAAAACAAGGTCCATAGGTTTATCACTTAGCATATTATAATTTCCTAAAGCTTCATCACAAGCAGCTTGTAACTTATTCTTATCAATAACTTCTTCGTATGGCCTTTTAGGTGCACCTAAAGGTGTCAATATATCTGTAAAGATTAATCCTCTCATCTCATCTAATGTATCAATTTTTTCATCCTTATCATTAGGGTTGTCCAAGTGCTTTTTTTATTCATATAATTTAAATTTAAAATTGTAATTCAAAATAAAAATGTTTAAATATGTACTTAGAAAACTGTATCAAAGTTAAGTCCAAATATCTTTTTAACTGTTTCTCTTAACCCCTTAAGCATTAAAAGTCTATCATCCTCATTAATTAATCTATCAGCAAAAACTCTCCAGCATTCATGAACCCAAAGTCTTATCAAGATATCTGGATTTGCGATTGTGTCTTTATCACTCATACAAACACCCATAATAACCTTAGCAAAATCTCTTAAGTTAAAGAGATAATGACTCTTCATAGGAGTAGGTAACAATTCATTCATAGCCATCTTATAAATTTCTAGAGTAGCGTTGATAACTTTATTTTCATTTTTAATAACTTCTGGAGAAAATTGGTTCACTTACATGTACCAATGCAGGATTGTTCCGAAAATTCTATTAAGTGTTTCTTCATCAAAGTTAGCAAGAGCTACTAAATTTAAGTGACGCAATAATCTAGGAGTTATAAAAGTTCTTCCACCTCCTGGAGGACCCATAGCACTTACAAATATGATTTCTACAATTTATTTAAAAGGTTTTTCTTTATCACTTAAATCATACCAGCCACCTTAATCAAGCATTTAACGGAGAATTTCAATAGGAGGTTGTGCTCCCCATTTTTCTTTTGTTGGCATATTCAAATCATCAACAAAAATAATGCATTTACCTTATTTAGGTCCATAAACACCTTTCTTCAATCTATCTAATTTCTTATCAATAATATCCATAGTCTGAGTTGAGCTTGTTTGAGCTGAAAAACCAACTTCAATATTCATATATTAAGAACGTGGTAAATCATTCATCAGTAAATTTTTGATGTAAGTAGATTTTCCAGTTCCAGTTGGACCACAAAACAGTGTTGGAACCTCCATCTTTATATTTTACTTTAATAAATAGCTATAACGAGCAGTATCAGAAGTTTGAATTATAATCTCATTGGGTTTCTTTTTAGGATTTATTTCTTCAGGCACGATTTAATCAATCCAAAGTTACCAATCACCTTCAGGTTTTTTATCTTCAATCTTATAGATATAATCATACATAGTACCTCTTTCTGGAAGTGAAATTTTCTTACTCTCCACTTAAACAACTATATCTTTGCCAAAAAGTCTCTTAGAAAATAGATCAAACTATTTTCTATCAACAGATGTACATAAAGATCCTCCAATAGACCACATGTAAGAGAAAATAAACTTCATGTCGATTTATTAGAAACGCTATTTGATGTCTAACTTATCATATGTTTCTTGATTCTTTTTTTAATTTTTTAGAATTTTTAATATATTTTTAAATTAAAAATATTAAGGTTTGCTATTTATTATTTTATTCAAATAAAAGGACATAAAGAATATTATTATTTAAAAGAGCACATATTATTTTATTGTTTAAAATAGACTTTTAAATAATTTCTTTTTTAATTTAAAAAAAATTTTTAAATTTAAGAAAAAAGTTTACTTCTAAATCTTTCAATAAACCCCTAAATATTCTCATTAAAGTAACAACTAAATTTTAATCTTGAGTTGGAGAGATTTCTTTTAAGCTTTATCTGAGATATTTAAGTGCTGGATCTACAACCCAGTTAAAGAGCATATCTATTTCAACATAATCTTCTTCACGAAGAGTAGAAGGTAAATTTTTCTTCCAACTATTATAGAGAGGTCTCCATCCCATCGAAGAAGGTTCCATATAAATCATACCACATCTTGATACTGTGGCAGGAGAAGCAGCTGCTAAATCCATAGGCTCAAACATCATATTCATACTTTTACTCATAGCTATAATTTCACCAGAATTCAAACAAAGTTTTTTGTTATCATCTAAGACTGTATTCATATTTTCAATCCAAACAGCATCAACAGGTCCATCAAAAATTAACCACTTTTTATAAAAAAGTAAATTTTAATATTTAACTGAAAAAAAATTAATATACTTTTCTATCATCATTTTCTTATTTTGCAAATGCTCTGAATTTAATAGCTAAAACTCCGTCTGCCCATTCATGAGAGACTTCATCTGAAAAACCATAGAGTTAATTCATAGTTATTGACTTAGGATTAATAGTAGTTATTTACACTTTTTTCTCGTTCATTTAGTTTCTTTCATTCAAAAGAGTAAGTGCTCCAGCCAAAACTTTAATAGCTGATGTCTTTCCAGAAAACGGCATACCAACGACCATCAAACCATGTCTTACAAGAATCATTTCATAGAGTTAAATAATTTTCTCAATGAAATATGGAACTTTCTAAAGATTTAATTTTTTGAGAGTTAAATCTATGCAATCATGCATATTTTGATAATCGATTTCAGGTAAAGAAATTCCTGGGAATAAATCACTTGTTATACCTTTGAAAAGAGGAAGATCAAAAGCCAAGAACTTGGCAAGATTTACATCATTGATTGCTCTAAGCATTAAAATACTTTCGTTTTCATTAACGAATTTTCTCTTTAAATTACCAGCTGCAGTCAAGACAGACTTTACTGCTCTCATACCTTTTAATTTATATTTTATTTGTTTTGAAATATAAATTTTAAAAATTAAAACATTTGCTTACCATAATCATAGTGGTCTTATGATGAAAGCTATTCAGAACACAACTTGTAAGTAGTAACGATTTTACGAGCAAGGTTTCTAGCATCTGAAAAACCATATGAATAAAGACAAATTTCAGAAATCATAGCATAATCAGGAACCATCATAGCAACTGAACGGAACAAGGCTTTTAAGTTATCTGGAAGTTCTGAACGTCCTGCATAACCAGGATTCATCGTGATAAATGCGTTGCAAGTTGGTTTTAAACGTATTGTTGAATCTTCGAAAAAGAACTCTTTCTTTCCTTCAGCACGTGCTAATTATATTGTGAGCATCTACTGTGCAACGACTGAAAGTACTTCTAAATCTATACGATTGAACTCATCGAAGCAGCTCCAAGCACCACTACTTGCTAATCCTTTGAAGAATTTTCCCATAGCCTTATAATCTAAACCATCTGAACAATTAAATACAACACACTATCTAGCAAGAGCTTTGGCTAAATCTTTTACTGTTTCTGTCTTACCAGTACCTTTATTATTATAATAATATAACATTTTTTATCAAAATTCAAAAAATTGTTTTATTTATTCAATTAAAACCTTCAAAAATAATTTTTAACTTCAAGAAAATATCATTTTTATTAATATTATTTCAATTTTATACCTGCAGGTCCTTCTGGAGCACCTCCATAATTTAAATGAATAGCTCCGCAAAGTGTTCTATAGCACCTGTCTGTGAGTGGTGTAATGACCAAACGACTAGAATTACCTAAATACTCATAGTTATAATCGCAGACTGCATTGATAATTTTTACTATTGTATCATTATCTTACCAATAATATCTAAGCTATGCTTACCAATCAAAATCTGATATTTTGTCAATATTTTTCTCTGCTAACTGAGTTATGCAGTCTCTATTATGAACATCCAATACTATAAGAGCTTCTATAGTGCATCTATCCAAAGGAGATATATCAGATCTGACTAGATCTACAATTTACTCAAGTTATTCAGTACATTCTTATGCAAATAGAACAGCACCCTTGTTTCCATGATCATTTAGATTCTTCTCAGTTCCATATGTCCAATATGTCATATTCACACTTAATACTGCCATACCACACCTATTTAAAACAAATTCCCTTCTTTTCATTTATTGATAATCTTCGAAAGCTATTGCTGTTACACTGTGAATACTCTCAATCATTCTCTCTTCTACCCATACCAACCATTCATCTACATTACCTCTTGCCTGATTAGTATCAACCTTTACAAAAAAAGTCAAATAAATATTAAATTGTTTAAATGTCTTCTTTTTTGCACATAAAATTATCATATTAATTTAAACTCTTACATTTAAATTATTAAAAAATTTTATTTTTAATGATTCTTTAAACTTAATTCAAAAATAAAAATTTACAAGTGTGAGGAATTCGACATATTCTCCTTCTGATGAATACATACCCAAAATCTTTTTTTCGTTATCGATTTTGAGTTTTTAAATACCTTCAAAGCACTTCTTAAGATGGGGTTGTACACGCTAAGGATCTTTGGTTTCTGATAAAATTTCTAACAATTCATCATTTGACAAGAAATAGAAACGAGGGAAGTTAGATCTCTTTCCTTCCAAGTAGCTGTTCAAACCTTTTTGGACTTTTTCTAATCTAATATGAGATTCTTTGAGGATATCAAGCATTCTTTTATCTTTAGTGAATTCTACTACCTTGGGATCTCTGCAAACCTTTCCCATAACTTGGTTACGCCAATCAAAGTCAACCTTTCTGAATTCTTCTCCTTCCATAGGCAAATGCTTTGTTATATCAGGAGAGGTAAAGACAGGTTCGAGGTACAACCAAACAGATTACACCTTGAGAAAATAATCAAAGAGACTTTGGGTGTAATTTAACCAATCTTCCCATTCAATAATTCTATCTTCAAATATCTTTGCATATGGTGAACCCTTCATTGTCATGGTTTTAACAATTTAATCGTCCAAAATAGTTTGAGTTTCATCGACACTTCCTCCTGAAACAATAAAAGTACCTGTGTCTTTCCATGATTTGAGCTCTGTTACTATTGGTTCCCAGTCTTCTCTCATCTATATTTAATTATTTAAAATTGAAAACAAATAAATGAAATTTATCAGTGTATTTTACCTTATCTAAAATTTTTTCTATGCTGAATTCTTTAGTTGCAGAATCAGAAATTTCTTCTAGTTTTTAATATTTATCTTCTAGATTAAGACCAATAAACCTGCTTAAGGATTCCTTTTTATGGGGATCTACTTTAAAACCTACTAAGTTACTTATCTCATCCCAATGTCTTTCTTTAAGTCCTTTATTTGAGAATACGTGAATTAATAGCTAGTGCTTTTAAAATTCTCTTAAATCTTCAAGAACTGTATGTGTTAATTCTAAAGGATTAACCATATTTTTAGCCTTAGAAAACATAATTTTAAGTTTAGTTGCTTTATTTAACATAGTCTTAACATCTCTTTCAATTTCTTCAGGATCTAAGGTGAAAACAGACTTTACTTTCTTCCATAAGTCTATTTTGTCGCTTTTATCTCTAATTAAAAACCATAAATCTTAGTATGGTAATAGATTGTTTTCAGCTTCTTGGAGTTTTGGGAATTCAGATTAAGTCCAACCAATAAGCTCTTCTCTAAGGTTTATTTCTTTCATCTATTATAAAATAAGTTATTTAATTAAAAATTAATTTAAACTTAAATATTTCTACTTCAGCAGTGTATTCCTTAAGTGTTTAACTGTAACCTTCAATAGCTTTACAGGCTTCTTCCTTTGAATATTCATTAGCATATGTAGTATTTAGTTAATCAATTTTCTAATGAATATCCTAAATATTTAATTCGAATTCATCTTTCTTTCTTTTTAATCTTTATTCAAGTTCTTCTTTTTCCTAATTAATTTAACATAAAAATTAAAAAGATACTAGTTAATAAATTATATTTTACCTTTTATAACCTAGACTCTTCTTATTCAACAACATTCATCAGATTATAAACTAAGCTAGCTGTAATGTAAAGCTACTTTAAATCATCTTCGCTCACTTTGTGAACTGTATTGTAAAGTAAATTGAACCACACTTTAACATCCTAATAGTCACCCTAAATTCTTTTGTGATCAGTTTTTTTAATTTTATCTATTGTTATTTCTAGGTCTTTCATTTTTTCATAATTTTCTGCCTTACTCTTTATGAATTCTTAAATTGTGTTAATCTCCTTGGCTATTTCAGCATTCTTTGAAAGTAAATAATGATGTATACTTGTCTGGAGAATTATCACTATATCTTAACAGATTTACAAGAAAATCTTTTTGACATCAACACCATCAACTAAAACCATATTAGTTCTGACATAAAAAGGTATTTCTTTATTTATTTCGTCATACAGTTTTTTATATTTGTTCATTTCAGCTGTGAACTCTTCTCTTTTCCTAGGTGTCCTTGTCCATGCTTCAACTCTTTGCTTTTCTTCTAACAAATATGAGTATTTATCATAAACCTTTACAACTTCTTGCACATTCTTTAGATTCCTTTCCAAGATGCTATCTATTTCTTCTTTCACATTTAAGAATATCTATTTGGTATTAAAAATTTATTAAAGAAAAAAATATTTTAAATTAAATTACTTCATCATCTCTAGGAACAGCCCAAAGAGATTTTACAACACTTCTAGCTATAGTGTTTTCAGGTCTAGGGAAACCTTGAGTGGTTGCAATTATGTCATCTATGATTTTTATCAATTCTTTGTGTATACTTTCATACAAATCATCTGCAAATTCAATTCTTCTATCCTCAGCAGTCAATTTAACATGTAGAAAGACATCTTCAATAGAATTGTTGTGATTTTTCTCACGCTCTATAATATCTTTAGGAGTTAGAAGTTTGTTCTTCTTAAAGCGCTAAAAGAATTCCTTATATAAAATGAGAGAATCGGAAACAAGCTATCTTATCTAATTAGACATAAGAGTAGCATTTGAATTGAAGAAAAGAATTGCCTATCGCTATTTAATTTTTAATAAAAATTTTAATTTGCTTTAAATATATTTCAAAAAATTTACTTTGTTTTTGTTCATCTAATTTAATTCTTCTTGATAGATGTCAATAACATCTTTATGCCATTCTGAAATCAGGTGGTTTTTAACTTCTGTGATATTTTTGAGCTATTTAATTATTTATTTTATTAAATTTAAATAATCAATTTTAAATATAAATGAATTATTTACTTAAATTTCTAAGAAGTTTTGAATGGTCATTGTTTAATCTTTCTTTGTTGGTAATACTAAGAAATGCATTTTTTCATATCTTTTCCATAGTTGCATAAGTTTTAATGTCGAACTAGAATTAATGACAAGATTAGAAATAATCTCTTATTTAGCGGCATTCACATCTTCCTTCCAGTCCAAATCAGGTTCTATTCCTTTATAATAATTGTCTCCATAATCAACAACTCCATCATAGATCTCCATAATTCCAATTCTAAGCATTTCTGTTTCATCTTTAAGAACATAATCAAGTATAGCTTTACGCACTGAGTCATAGTAGTCTTTGTTAATTTCATTAAGCATTTGATTAATCATATTCTCCATCACTTACCTATCAACATATTATAGTTAGTGAGGGATCAAATCTAAAATATCAGTTATCCAATAATTGTTAATAGAAGCAACAAATTCAATAGGTATTTCATTCTCAATGTATGCTTTATATCTTTCATAGCAGGTTCTTTTTGCCTTCATCTTGTTGTTTAATTCTTAATTTCTTACTCCATCGACCTATTTATAAAATTTTAATATTAAAAATTGTATCAATCATTTATAATTTATTTATTTACAACAAAAGAAAGTTCTTCGAAGAATGTTGCAGGAGGTTATAGGAGCTCTTAATTAGCTGTGAATTATACTGATGTATCAAATAGCTTCATTATTTTAATACCTTTTGTTTCTTAGTCAAAAGAGAGTTTCTTTGCAGTAGGAGTATAATTTGAAGCTATTCTAGCGCTTACTGATAAATTATGCTTTTAAGCAGCTAACGGTGAAGCCAATGTTCTTGAGAATCTATCAAGTATGGGAGGGAACCTTATACTAGCTTATGGGGGCTTTAAAAAACTAGAATTTATAAGTAAACTAGCACTATTTGCTAGCTTAGAGAAGTCCTTTTTATTATATTTAAATAATAATTATTTAAAATTTCAAAAATAAAGTAAATAGCTACTTAGTTCTTTGATAACGGGTCTGTGCCTGCTGCCAAAAGCTCAGGATCAATCTAGACATTATTGTGCTTATATCTTCTAGTGGGCGAATATTATTATTTATCATTATTTTAAACAAATTTAGAAGCCACTGAATTTTTAGTCATCCTTAAATTTTTGCGGTTAAATTGTGAATTATTCATATTACTATTGTCAATGCTATCTCCAGCGCTTATACTTAATTATAATTTAAGCTTCGAAGCGTTTAGTTGAGCACTAGCATCTAAGCTTTAAGGATTATTAATGCTATTAAAATTAGAGTTAGAATTAACTCCTTTGGATTAAGGAGTATTGTTTCCTGTTCCTCCAAAATAATCAATTTCTTTATTAGCTGCTCTCAGCATATGTACAGAGGCTGATAAACCTTTACGAGAATCAAGAAGTGATCTGACTGTTTGCTTTGACTTTCCATTTTACACTTTCTTATTTAAGATAAATGGTTCAAGGCTCAATGTCCTTTCAAAGCAATTTATTTTTCCAAAATTTCCAAGATCTACTTCTACATTATTAATGCTAAGAACCTTTATAATAAAAATAAATATAATTTAATTTAATTTAATTTAAAGAAGAAGAAGAATAATAATAATATAGACTTCTTTTAATAGCATGAGTTAAAATATAAAGAAAAATATAAAATTTTAACAGACCTATGATTTTGATTTTTAATTTTTAAACTTCTACTTTCATAAATTTATTCAATCCTATTTTTTTTTGTAAATATATTAAAAATACAAAATATTTACTTCATTTATTTCATTAAATATGGATTCAATGCAAACCTTAACTGCCTATTTATTGATTTCAGGGCAAAGCTTATGAACAGCACTATAATTAATTTTAATTGGAGGGAAATTTGAGTTGTCAATGTCACCCTATAATAAACAGTTATCATATAAATATAAAACTTCATTTGAAATTAAACTTCTATAGTAACTAGAAGGAAATTAAGTTAATTATTGAATAGAGAATAGTTTCTACTAAGTAGAAATAAACAAAAAATTCAAATTAATCTAAAAAGATGTTTTTTTTAAATATTTTTTCAAGTAGAATATAAAAAAAATACTCTGTATTTCAAATTTTTGGAGATTATAAGATTCTCACTAAAGTATATCATTATTGTTTTTGCATTTTAATTATTTATGTCGCTTCCATCACTTAACTTTTTGTAAGTCAGATTACCTTATTTTTAAATACATTAATTGATTATTATTAAAATACTCAATGAGAATGAATGCTGATATGTTTTCAAATTTCAAGACAAAATAAATATTTACCAAAATTGGGAATCGATATTGTTCTTTCTAAATCTAATTAACTCTTGCACCATCTTTAGATTAAGTTTTTAATTAGCATTATAATTATCTTTTAAATATTTTAAAAAGCGAGTTACTTGTTGAAGGCATTCCATGATTCAAAGAACACTTCAGATGGTATTTATAATCTTTCTAGACCTTCTTATTATGTAACCCTTAAAAGAATAAAATAGAAATTATATTTAAATTAATATGTGCTAAAAATATTACTTATTTGAACATCTCTAGTAAATGTCTTCAAGTTAGAAATGCTATATTTTTAAATCCATTTTATATCTACTTTCTTTCTTCCTAACTTTTATTTAAAAGTAAATAAAATTGATTGTATGTAAATACAAGTTTTTATATATTTTTTATCGATCAATTAATCTCTTTATTATATTAGCACTATGTTTGCTTATTTTTTTGCTTGTTAAAGAGTCTTTTATATTTCTCAACACCAAAAACTATATTTTCAATAAATAGTGTTGTTGACTTAACAAAATCACTATGCAGAATTTACTGTTTATTCAAAATTACATGTTGATTCATTTCATTAATTGAAATCAGTTGGATAATTTGTTTAAACCTCGATTTTAAGTTAGAAACTATCTTTTAGAGATCTATAATTCAAATATAATTAATTTTATATAAATAGATTCTAAGCTAAAAATGATTATTCCTTTATACTAATTAATTATCTATGCTTTTGCAGTGTTGATTTAAATTTTTATAGCATCTATTTGCATAAATTTTATAATTAAAATCTTCATTTTTCCTAACTGAATAGTTAGTAAATTTAAATACAATTTTTATTAATACATTTATCTAATTTTATTAGTTTTCTTTTTAAAATATTTCAAAATATCAAAAACAAACATATAAAAGGATTAATTTTTTTAATTATTAAAATTTTTGTTTATTGCTTTTAAACATTTTTATAAATATCTTATTTAATTTTTGCTTTATTTTGTTTATCATTACATTGTCAATTTCTAGGATTCATTCTGAGTTAAAATCCTTCATTAATAGCAAAAGATAACCTCATTGAAATATCTATTCAATTATTTTTATGTTCAAAATAATATTTTTTTAAATTTAGTTTATTGATTTTTTCTTGCTTTTAATTTTTAAAAAATACATTTTAGAAAAATTAATTTTTTCTAGCTTAAAAAAAATAAAATTTGTTAAGAAACTAGAAAACACCCTCTTAAAACATATTAAACAATAAGTATTTAGACAATTTTTAATTATTTTAAATTTTAATAAATTATAAAAATATAATTTAAGTTTTAATCTATTATAAAATTAATTAATAATAATGAGTACTAAAAAAAGTATAATTTATTCTTTTCAAAAATATCTAGCTGCTATAATTTTTTAATTCAATAAATTTTTAGAGTTAAATATAGATTAAAATAAAGTAAGTATCAATGAGTGAAAATAAAGCAAATTAGTTAGAGAAAGACTATGGAATAGAATTAGTTGACTCAAGTGAAATATAGCTCAAAAAAAAATATGATAACTATAAATATAAGAAATTAGCATTTCATGAAAGGATTTTGACATTTAGATTTTGGAAATACATTATTTTCATATTTTTATGGCTTATATCTCTCAAACTGATTGAGAAATATACAGGATTTGGTTCAATGTTTCTTATCGCATCAATATTAGTTTTGATTTTTACAAATTTAAGTCATAAAGAGAGAAAAGAAGGAGAACTAAGTGCTTACAGTATCTTTAATGAAGGAGCTAAAAGAATTTTAGGTGATAATCCTGAACAGTTCATGGCTTAATTTGGTATTAACAGAAATAGAGATGATTAAAACGGCGAAGAAGAAATTAAAAAGAATAAAAAAGTTGTAGATTTATAGATTCCTAAGGATAGTAAAGAGTGGATGAAGTAAATTTCTAAAATGGGTAATAAACCTTGCTATTGTGGTTCTGATAAGAAATATAAAAAATGCTGTTATTATAGAGAGCTTAGACAGTAATAAGAGTCTTAAGATTATAAAAAAAGATAACAAGACCAATAGTACAAAGAAGCTATTTACAGCGACGAGGATTGATTGAGTTTTAAAAAAATAATTTTATTTGTTTATATGAAAAATTTCTTTTATAAAGAATAAATATATTCTATTACTTTTATGAGCGAATATTAAAGGAATATTTGTATATCAATATGATAATTAGCATATTTATATATATATATTTAGTTATTATGTGTGAATGTGTATATATGTTTGATCAGAATCAAATTTCATTTAATTAATAGTAAAGTTAGTAATCTAATTTGTCTATCTTGTGAATATATTCGAAATAGTTAAGCTATAATTAATATTTCATAAATTAAGAGCTAATTTTTTTTTGTATTCAGATAGATATTTAGGGAAGCTATTTATGTAACCATAACCTCAAAAAACGGGTTTGTCTGCTTTGATAAACGGACTGTAATAGAGTAGTAGCAATTAAAATCTGAGTATTTTTTAGACCTTATCATAAGATAATGAGCATTACAACCAGAATTTAAGTGACAAAAATATTAACGCATAGAATTAATAGGATTCAAACAATGAAGATGATGAAGAAGAAGCAAAAAGTTCATCTTAATAAAATAGCAAATCCATATTATTCAAGCCAATAAAAAAAAAACATAAGGATTTTAAAAACAAAAACTAAATGAACAATTTTAATTCTGAATCTCAAAAATAAAATGTGATTTAAGATAAGATTACAGGAGCAGGAGTATTACTTTGGGAGAAATTCTCACTTTCAGAAGAAGAATATATGTTAAAGAAAGAAATTTTAAAACAAGAAGCAGTTCAAAAAGAAGGATACACAATTCTTCTATTCGGATAAAAAGAGAAAAAAGGAAAATTTAAAGATTAGATACTGTACACAGATCCTGGTGGAAAAATAGACAATAATGAAAGTAGCCAAAAGATTGCAAGTAGAGAATTATTTGAAGAGAGTTGTGGAACATTTTAAATTGATGAGCAGTATTTTGACATAAAAAAAAGCTTTAGAATGGGAGGAAGCTATATACTATACAATTTAAATCTGGAATCTATTGGAGAAAAGAAAATCGATTTATAAAAATTCAACAAAAACTATGATATTTTATAAAGTAATGAATAAACACCTGTATTTTGGCTTGAAAGCTTAGCAATTACTAGAATATTTGCAGATGAGTTAAAAAAAATAGATCTATATGAAAACTTTCACATTATAAATCTAACAGATGCATATGGGAAAGAAATATAAATAGGTAGAAGATGCATTGCTATTCTTAGAGCTCTTACTAAATCTCCTAATGTTTATAATTTTTAAAAAAGTCAATTATTGATCAATAGCAAAGTTTAACTTTATTTAGAAGAAAATAATGACGAAAATTTGTTACAAATATATCCTTGGTTGAAAGATACTTTAACATATAAATCAAAACAGCTTAATTGATTTTATTACTTTGTAAAAATAATTACGAGAAAAATTTATAAAAATAAACCATAATTTAAAATATATTTTAATTAAAAACTCAAGTGGTTTAAATGCAGGAAGAATAATTAACACTTCACTAAATAAAATATAATGAATATTGTTAAAACTAAATGAAAAAATTTAATTTACTCAAATCTAAATTAATATAAGTATTTTTTTGTCTCTATGCTCACTGATTTATTTAAGTTATATTTTTTGATAATATAAAATGAGAATTTTTATTTTTTACTTAGATCTTGCATGTTCTGGCATATATTTAATTTTAAAATTAAGATTCACTTGATAATAAAATTATTGTATAAAAAAAAAGTCAATTTAATATGAATTTTTATGTGGCAATCCATAAAAAGCTAAGATTTAAAATTAAATTTCTAGAATGAAATAAGCTTAAAAAATAATTACATTTTTAAGGTGATTTTTAATGGATAATATTAGTTTGTTTTTAGGTTTTTTTAATTTAAATTGATTAACGTAGATAGAAGAAAAAATTAAGTCAGATTACGAAATTTGAATAGTTATATCTCAGATATTTACCTGAAATTTTCAAATTCTTATACTTTTTTATACATATATACAGAATTAAACTTAAATATTTGCATTATTTTTATATAACAATAAATAAATTTGTTTTTAGAAATATAATAATAATATTGAGTAAAAATTTATTAAAATTTAAAGAATTGATTTTGATAAACCAAATCTTTAAGCATTTATTTGGATAGAATGTTTATTTTATCTTATATTGTTTAAAATTATTGAAATTTAGAGGATTTTAGTTTTTTTAACAGAAAAACAAATTATTTAGGTTTTTTTTCATTCATCGACTCTGAACTAGCTTTTTTTGTTTTTTTTATATGTTACAATGTGATTTGAATAATCAGGATTAGAGCAGCATAGTTTCAAAAAATCTATATAAATTAAATGAGTTTCTTTTTATAAGACTTTACTTTCTTAGAGCCATTTCTCTGCTTCGAATGTCAAGTAAAACTCAAAAGCTTTTCCATACTTATCGTGTTAAATCAGCTTATGTAAAGAGTTGTTATTATATGAGTATGATTTTACATAATTTTTAGCCATTTTACGAGCTTGATTTGGTTACATTCCTTTCTATGCAAAATCTGTTAGAAGATCATTTTCTTTTGTGTCTAACAAGTAGGCAAAGAAAGCTTTGATGATATTCTTGCTAATATTATTTTTAGAAATATTCTCAAATTTCTATATGAGATCACTCATTTCATATCCTTCTTCTTGCATTTAAGAGCTCTCTGAAAAGTCAGACTCCAGTTAGCAAAATTTTTTAGTTTCTAAATTTTACTACATTTGATTGCTCATTAAGTTAATTTCAGAACTATAATTGGAGTTACAAGTATAAATATCTCACAATATTTTTGTATAGGATGTTAAGTATTATTAATATTGTAATAGGAATTTTAAATTTAACCTTTTTACTAATTTATAATAAAATGGATTATTATTGTCTGAGTTAATGTTGGCTAATTCGATTGGAATAATTTATTTAAATTAATTAGCTCAGTAGTTTTTATATATTTTATTGATTGTTTGTTGCTAATATTTATTAGTAATTACTTTTTAGTTTTTAATTAATTGTGCATTAATTTATTTATAATATTTTTGCTTATGAATCTTCTTTTTGAAAACTCCTAAAATAAGTTAAATTGAAAATATGGTATCTAATATGAAAGTAATTATAAATACATCTCGATCTAAAACTCAAATTTATAAAAATTTACAGTAATATATGAGAAATCTATAAGGCAAAAATGATTTTCAACTACGCTATCGAATTTTTTTTTACCAATTTTTGCAGTATCTAAATAAGATTTTTTGTTTACAATACCATTTAAGTTCAACTAATATTTGATGAATTTAAAAAATGCAATTTAATAAGTGAAGAAATATAATTGAAAATAAATAGATAGAATTAATGTTTACTTACATTTTTTTAAATGTTTAAAATACTTACTTCTAAGTAAAAATTATTATGCTTAAAAAACAAAATTTATATTATTAAAAAGAAATATTAATAAATATACGTTTCCTATAAATAAATGTAAATAAAGGCCTTTTAATTTGCATATTTATTATTTATATAGTGTAAAATTAGAGTCTTCATTGAGAGTAAATCAACGCAAATGTAGATTCCGATAATTAAAGAATTCATTGCTTATTAATTAAAAATTTATAAGTGTAAATAATATTAGATTATAAGTCGATGAAATAGTAATCTATTTCAAGTAATTAATTTGATTAAAATATTGATAAGAATTTAAAGGATTAATTTACTAGATGATTTTAATATTAAATATTCATAGAAAAGTCCAACAAGCAAACATACTTGAAAAAAGAAACGTTCAAATTACAGGAATTTAGAATATTTTCAGAATTTTATGTCAACTACTAGAAATTTTAAACCCTGCATTTATATATTTATTGATTATAGATATTATCACCAATTTTGTTAAGTATTTAAATAAATTATTTTTATCACATAAAAAAGTAATAATATTAATATTAATGGGGTAGGTATGTTATTAAATTTGAATTGAATGCTCAAAACTTAACACATATATACTTTTCAAAAAAAAAAAAGGCTCAAAAACCCAGTATTGGAACAGATTCATAATATAACTAAGTATATAAAATATGCAATTCTTATTATTAATCTGCCAATTTTAATATTAGTGGTGCCAAGATGAACTCAAAAGAACATGTTTTATGAGTTACCATATTATTATGTTACCAATTTACACTTTAATTTGTACTTAAAAATTTCTTAAAAAAAACCGCATTTTTCAAAATAGATAGAGGAGAAGATTAATTATCATAATAGATTTTTTTAAAATTCAAGAAAAAAATTTAACTATATTTATTTGATTACATAAAAAACAGAAATAGAAGATTACTTTGATAATTCAAAGTAATAATATTAAAATTATTATCAATCAATATTAATCAAAATTTAAATAAAATTAAAATATCTAGAGTATTTAAATAACCTATTTATCAATTAAAATAATCGCATTATAATGAAATAAGATATTGATAAATTACAAAAATTAAGTAAATAGATGGCTATTTGAAGGTCAATAGATTAGATTAAATGGATAATGAATTTAGTTCAAAAACAATAGATGTTTATTTATGATAAAAAATAATGTATACATATCTATTTTTGAAATTTTTTTTTGCAAGAAATTTCATAGTAATTAATATGGTTTTAATTGGATTTCTTAAATTAAAAATTTAAAAAGTAAAAAATTATTAATTAATTAATTAATTAACTTAATAAAAATTATGCAAAATTGTATTTAAGTTTAATAATTATTGTTTCAAACTAACAAAATGGTAAATTAATTTAATATTTCAATAAATTATAAATAAGTAAACCAACAAATTATTTTTAATCTTGCTTAAAATTTTAATATATCAATTTAGTTCAGGTTTACATAATACTTTTAAATAGCTTACACACTATTTTAAGGCCAAATTTTATAGCAATTAATATGGTTTTCATTGGTTTTCTTAAATTAAAAATTTAAAAAGTAAAAAATTATTAATTAATTAATTAACTTAATAAAAATTATGCAAAATTGTATTTAAGTTTAATAATTATTGTTTCAAACAAACAAAATGGTAAATTAATTTAATATTTCAATAAATTATAAATAAATAAACCAACAAATTATTTTTTATCTTGCTTAAAATTTTAATATATCAATTTAGTTCAGGTTTACAAAATACTTTTAAATAACTTACACACTATTTTAAGGCCAAATTTTATAATAAATGTGAATTAACTATAAAAATATTAATAAATTAAAATTTGCTAAGCTATTAACATTAACTAGTAAATTATAAAATATAAATAGGAAGGTATTGTTACATAAATATATATAGATGATTTAACAAATAATAAATAATTAAAAATATTTGATCGTTATAATCTATTTATAGATGAATTAATTTATTCATATTTTATCATCGAATTTACTCTTCTTAGGTTATTTATATTTGAATAAGCTATTTAAATAGCAATTGTTAGCACAAGATAATTTAAAAAAATTATGTAAATAAGATGTTTATCTTTTTACTAATTTTTAGTTTTATTAATCCGATTTTATGTTTCAAAAGTTAAGTAAAATTCGAAAATTTTACTGTAAATAAGATGTAAAATTAATTTTTAAAGATAACTGTTGTCATTGTTATACTTTTAACAAAAACATTTTGCCTTTTTAATGGGCCTTGTGATATAGTTGAAGTTCCATTTTCAGCAAATATAATATTTATACTTTTTTTGTTTAATTGAAATCCAAAGAAATCTTTAATATATTTTTACTTGTATTATTCATTGCAATACTATCAAAATTATTTAATAAATTTTCCAATTCATACTTTTTGAAAAGGTTTAAGATATTTCAGATTCCTAATTTTACATAATGTATCATTATTACTGCTATATTAAGTCGTTTAAGTATTACGTAAATTCATTTATATATTTTTAAGAAAACTTTAATTATTAATCTTATAGAAACTAATCCTTATTTTTGCAATTGTTTAGCATCCTACTTCTCTTATTTCTATGATTATTTCACGTGGATTCTGTTTTAGCTTTCAAAGTATTTATTTTAAATATATTTTTATTTTTTTAATTTTATGATGAATGATGTAAGCTTTTAAATTCAAAAACAATTAAACTAAAATCAGGTTATAAAAATATATATATTGGATAGGTTTTCTATCTTTTACCTAAATTCCTTATTATTTAGATTAGTTATTATAATATAGTTTCAAATTTTTGCTTTTTTCTTCATACTTTTCAAAAAAAATGAATAAAATAGTTATTACAGCATTTTTGCTATTAAATTTTACTTAAGAAATAAATCAACAACTATTAGATAAAACTAGTTAGCATATTTCTTTTAAAAAATATTAATATTTGGCTGATGTTTTCTAAATTATTTTGAAATCACTATACAAAAAATATGGAAAGGGTAAAATCATTAAAGGATAGATTAAATACTATTAAATTCTTATAATATAATTTAATAATACGTATATTTGAAGTTAATTATAATTTTAATTAGGTCACAATAAAATATTATAGTTATTTAAATATTTTTAAAAACCTTATTGCGGATTTTGTAAAAAATGAAGAAATAGTAAAAAAACGAAAAAAAATGTGTATAATTTAATGAATTTCTTATTTTTTGACTTATAAGTTAATTAAAAAAGGAAAATTACACTGTCTTTAAATTCTATTATTTTAATCTTCTGTTTCTTCTGTCATAAAAACTCTATTTTTATATTATTATTAATAATTCTAATAAAATCTGTTAGCCTTACAATTTTCTTAATTATGTTACTAATTCTTTAAAAAGTGAGTAAACAGTAAGGACATATTTTATTATTAAAGATAAAACAAAATGAACAGAATTTAGTAATCAAAAAGCCATCAAGAAATTTAATATGTTAATATCTAAAATAAGGAAATTTTACTTCATTTCTATTTTTTTAAATTTATTTTAAATTTGATGATTCTTTGTTAATCTTAGAAAATTATTTATCAAAATATAGATTTAAAGTATTTAAGATTTTTCTTACTTGTATATATTTACATAAATTTATAAACATATTTGTATAACTTGAAAAATATTTTTATGAGAATTAATAAGTATAATGTAAAATTTTTCAAAATAGTCAAATAATTGGTCTAAAAATTTAATTATTATAGCCTTTGCAATGACTGCCTCCTTAAAAAATTGTTGATTGATGCAAAGCAAATTTAGACATATATTTTATATATAAAATAGAAAGTAAAAATAATTATGCTCAATTTTAAATAGTTTATTTAATGTAAAAAATATGTAAATACTTAATAGTATATATATTCAGATATTTTTGACCTTAATAAACTACCAAATCCTCACAAATTATATTTATTTTTATATTGAGAAAACCTCTCAAAACTCTAATAAGTAACAAAAAATCAACCTTTGATCTTCAAGTTGCAAGGTTTTATAGTAAATTATAATTAAATATTTTATTTTTTATATGAGAAATGAAAAATTAATTTTAGATTTAATAGAGTTCATTTATTTTTGTTTAAAATGAAGGATTTTGAACTAGAGAAAGTTTATATTGTTTATAAATTATTATATTGATTTTTTCAATTATCTTCATAATAAAAGTTATTCAGTAAATTTGTTTTATTAGTATGTTTAGTTACTATTCTCTTTGTAAATTTTTAATAGATAGTGAATCATTAATTTTTAATTTAAGTCAAGATTTATCAGAATCATTCATTTAATTTGATCTTTTTGTTATTTTTGTATGAAATAATATGATTCGAGTATTTAGGATTTGAACAAAGAAGTTTTAAAAAATCAATATAAATTAAATGAATTTCTTTTTACTAAACTTTACTATTCATTAACCATTTTTATGCCTCAAAAGTCAAATAAAATTCAAAAGCTTTTCCATATTTTGGATGTTAAATCAGCTTAAGAAGTGATTTATTATTAAAAATATAGCTTTAAATAAAACTTTTAGCCATTTTACGAGCATGAGTTGGCAAGACTCCTTTATACACAAAATCTGTGAGTAAATCATTTTTTTTTATATCTATTAAATAGTTAAAAAAAGCTTTAATAATATTCTTACTGATATTATTTTTTGAAATTTTATCGAATTTTTATACAAGATCACTCATTTCAAATCCTTCTTCTTGCAATTAAAGATTCCCTGAAAAAGAAAATTCTGATTCGCAAATGTCTTTGCTTTCAATATTTTATTTTTCATTTTTAATTAAGCTCATAGATAGATCTCTTTCCTATTCAGATCTAGTTAATTTTGTTGAAGCCATATTAACATTTTATCCGCAAAGATACTCTTTGCATTAATTTTAGAAAAGCTCATACTACTAGAAGTTTATCATATATGATCAAATTATTTTATTTCTGTATTAATTAAATTAATTATAAATAATATTCTTATTTTAATCCACAAAAGGTATTTCTTTTACTTTTTCCAATAAATTATGGTACACCTATTATTTTTTACAGGCTGAATCTCATTTTATAACTAATTTTTACATATTTATTCAATGATAAATGATTTTCTTTTTCTATTTAAAAGTTAATGAGCTATGAGTTAGCTCTAAAATATGAAAGACTAATCTGTAGCTTTTCCAAATATTTAAACTTATTTATTTGATATTGAATTTATTGATTTTATGTTTTTTTATCCTTTACATATAAACAAAAATTCGTCATTCTTGAAAATAAATATTACCAAATTTTATTAATTAAAATGAAATAAATTGCGAAGACATTTTCCATATGTTTATGGCAAATAGCAAGACATAATAATTTTGAGTTAGATTTTTTTAAAATTAAAATTAAGATTAGTATTTTAATTTTTAGTAGTTAATATCATCTTAAAGTAATTTTCTGGTTATTAAAAAAAAAGGAGAAAGATTAATTCATTAAAATACTATCAACATATTCTAAAATTTAATTAAATATAAAGATTTTTTTGATTTTTTTCTTTGATGTTTAATTGATAGTAACTTACTTTCAAGTTAGACAATAATGCATGACAAAATATTTTTTTAATTTAAAAGAGTAATTCAATAAGTATTTATCATTTGTGCTTAAAAAGCAAGTAACTAACCAACATCAAAACTTAATTATTAAAAATCACTTATTTATATTGAATAAAAGGTAGATATTTAAAAGGTAAAATTTTAGATAAAATATCTAATATCTGCTATAATATTAACTTCAATAGCATTTTATCTATCTTAAACAGTAATTAATTATTATGTACCAATTTTTAATTATCTTTCTTAGTTAATGTTTCTTTGTAAAATTAATTATTATTCATATAAATAGTGTAATTAATAGTAAAAATTTAAGTAAGTAAAATATGAGTAAAGAAATTTAAATGAAAAGTAGAACCATAGCTCCTATTATTTTCTATTAATACTGTAAATTTAATTAAAATACTTAAGAAACCATATCAATATTTAATTAGGATATTATATTATGAAGAAGTATTATTTAATCTTTTATATATGTAAGTTAAATAAAATAAGAGACCTTTTAATATATAATTAACACTCATACCTTTTTAATTAATCTAATTTTTCTACCAATTGATTCAAGTATTTCTATTAGTAAAGCTCTAAAAAGAATTAAATTTTGAGTAAAAGTAAATATTGGAAAATACTAATTTATTTTAAAATATTTTTATTTATACTTTATTATTTTTGGACCTTGTGTATTATTTTATAATTAGAATTCGAAATGATTAGTATTAAGCTACATCATAATTTTGCTTCAAATTGTGTTTATTAATCCAACGATATAAATAAAGTATATTTTCCATATTTCTTCTTTCCTTCATACCTTCCTACCTTACATTATTTTACATCTTTATATTTACAATAAGAAATTCACAAGTATTTAAGGCTTAAAAAAATACAATTAAATTTATTAATTTATTAACTGTTAATGAATAACAAAGATAAAATTTACCATAAAATTTAACTTAATCAGAGAAAATTTATTTATTCAAGTTGATAGAAGAATAACTTTATTTTATCAGATGATGATGATGATGATGATGATGATGATTTGGTTTAAATGAATCTGAAAGTGAATATTTAAACAATGAATTTATTCTTGATTAATTTCTGCATTTTTAATTAAATTAAACATTTTTTAAAACTATGTCAATCTATTATCCATAAAATACTTTTCATTTAAAAAAAATTGAATTTGTAATTTTTTGAAATAATAAAGTAAAGAAACAATTTATTTTTAACCATTATCTTTTTCAATTCATCACAAAAATAATAAAGAAAAAAAGTATGAATTTAAAAATGCCTTTTATAGCTATTAATTTTTTTTTATTTTATCACATTTTAATAATTAATTTAAATCAGTCAATATGGTATAATTGTAAGTCAAAACTTATTCTTTATACATTTTATATAAAAATCAATATATTTTAATGTTACTATTTAATTTTCTTGAATATAATTTTTATTAATTTTTTTTAGTCGAAAGATTGAAGTAATTAATTTTAATAAATTAATTTTTATTATAATAACTATTTAATAAATATTTTTTTGTTTTGATTTATTTAGTACTTAAGGTAAATTGAGTCTAAAGAATATAAGTTATATTCAATTTTTTCAAGATCTATCATTAAACATAAATTTTCTATGTTTATTATATTTAGTAAGATTTTTTAAGTATGAAGTATTAGCGCAACATAATTTCAAAAAATTTATATAAATAAGGTGCTTATCTTTTTATTAAACTTTACTTTCATTCAGCCATTACTAAGCTTCAAACGTTAGATAAAACTCCAAAATCTTTCCATATAAAGGATGCAAAATTAATTTTTAAAGATGATTATTGTTGTAATTATACTTTTAACTAAAATTTTTAATCTTTTTAAGAGCTTGTTATAATGTAAATGATCCTCCATTGTATGCAAACTCCAAGATGGAATTTATATTGTTTTTATCTGTTAAAAATGCAAAGAAAGCTTTTATAATATTTTTGCTTATATTATTTTTAGTAATACTATCAAAAGAATTTATGAGATTCTCCATTTCTTGTTCTTCTTCACTAAATTGAATTGTTTCAGAAACTTCTGAGTCTATGTTTTTAAATTAGGATTGTTACATAAACATAGTTAAATTTTCTTAGGATTCATAAATTGACTCTTGATTTTAATCTAAATTGTTTTAGCAATTTAAAAATGATTCCATATCACTAATTTTAATTTTTATCAATTATATTATTGTTTTTATTTTATTAATGTTAGATTTCGTTTATTTTTAGTTAATATTATTTATTATTTATTTCAAGTTAATGTTATTTTATTTTAAACAACGAGTGCTATGGTTTTTTTCCACCAATTAAATCCTCATAATTTTTCATAGATTTAAATTTATTTATTTCTAAACAAGCTAAAATCATTTTAATAAGTAAATAAAAATAAAAGCCATTTTATAAATATTTTGAATATTCTCTTTTTAAATAGATAAATGTGATAATTCATTTATTCATCCCTATATAAAAAAAAAGTTAAAAATATTCGATTCAAGCTTTTTTAAAACTAATCAAAATAAAAGTTATTTCCTTTTGATGTTAGCAGGTTTAAAAATTTTACTGTTTATGACTTGATTGAATTACACTATAATAATATTTAATCTTGATTATATTAATATGGGATATTATTTGTAGTTCTAAAAAGGCATGAAATAATTAATTAATTCATTAAAAATCGCCTCAAAAATTTTTTCAATCTTAATATCACTATTCTCTATTCTGTTAAAATCTAAATTAATATAAATTTATAATCATTTTCTGTAAATAATCTCTGATTTTATAGCTCAAAAAAATGCTTTAATATCCTGAATTCAGATTCAGTAAATTGATGATGATTTACTTCTTAAATTTAAAAAAGTAACAGCCTAGTAATTGATAAAATATGTTTAGTTTACATATTTATTAATTAAAATAGAATTAGTATCTATAAATTTTATTATATTTTTTAAACATCATTTTTTAGATTTCAAATTTTCTATTATTTTTGGTTGAAAAAATTTACAATTTAGAGTTTATTTATTTTAAAAGATGATTGTTTGTGTAATCTTATTAAAATAACGATAATCTTTTTTACACATTACAAATTTTTTCAAGCTTTTTTATTTTTAATAAATAAATTTAAAATAACTCAACTCACTCAGATTTCGCTCTAATTATTATAATTATAATAAATAAAAAATAAACGTTTTTTGCTTTGAAACAAAATGATTACAAAATAAAAAACAATTTATTAATCTTATAAATAAAATTCAAATATTTTATTATGTATTTAACATTATATTATTCTTAAAATAGTCAATAAATACCTTTCAATTATATTTATTAGCTGAATTAAATGTAAAAGTAATTATTAATAAATGTTACATTTTTAAATGTAAAAGTCATTATTAATTAATGTTACATTTTTAAATGTAAAAAAAGCTTAATTTTGCTTAAAACATGTAAAACTCTTTCATGCTTTCATGTGAATATTAAAAAGTTAACCATAATATTAAAATAGCTTGGGTGTCAAAATGTAATAAAAATCAAGGATACCTATTTACTGTGCTTTAACATTAATTATACATAATTATAAAAAATGTTTCCATAAAATTATTAAATTAAAAAAAGTCTAAGTAAACTTTATAAAATTTTCTTGTAATAAGGTAATAGAATATATATGTTATATAATAAAATGAAATTTAACTTTATCTAAAATAAATTAAAACATTTATTGTTCCAAAGTTAATATTATAATCATTAAAACTAATTATGCTTTTGAATAGAAAAATTAGAATTATCTTTAGTATAAATAAATAAATGAGAGAAACAATTAAAGTTTTTTAAAGTGAAATAAATCTTAAAAATACTTGATATTATTTTCTTTAAAAAAAATATTTATATTTTTATTTGCTAGAATAATAAATATGTTACTTTAAAAATACAAAAAAATAAATTCGGATCTAGAAAATCATCTGTTTAAAATTCTTAAATTTTAAACATAATATGTAATACAAACTTAAACTTAGGTTTTTATAATTATTATGTATGAGGAAAGTATTTTTATTTTTACTAATTACATTTGTTAATTTAACTTTTAACTAAATTACTAACTTTTATTTTCTAGTAGAAATCATATTTGTCTAATTATAAAAATAATGAGATAAACATGAAGAGTTTGGTAGCTTCAGCCAATTATAAACTATTCTAATGATCATTTTTATATGTTTAACTCTTAACAAAGATAAATAAAAGTACAATGAATAATAATAATATGATTGATAATTATATCATAGTATTCTAATTAAATAGTGGTAAAAGGTTAATTAATTAATTGTATTGTATCAATTAATTGGCATGAAAAAATGAAGAATGTTTAATTTTTTACAATTTATATTTCTATTTTTTTAACAATTAATGAAAGTCTAATATTATAGACGGACTAAAATGTTTATAATAAAAATAAGTTATTTCAATAAAATATAATTTTTTTTTATTTTCAATTAAATTTACCTCTTTTGAATTTAGAAATCAATCACTGAATGTAAGATATTATTTCAAAGATAGAAAACAAATTTTTCTTACTGTTTATGTTTTAAAATTATAATTTCTGATAATTTCTGAAAATAAAGTGTAAAACAAATGAAAACAAAAGAATGATTTTTGAATCAGTTTAATTAAGGTAAGATAATCAAATAAATTAATTATATTAGTTTACACTCACTCAAAGTAATGTTTCATTTTTCTGTAAATTAATATGAAAAAGCCTATATGATTTTCGAAAAAAATTGTTTGTAAATAAATTAGGTTGGATTTTTAGTGCTAAAAAAAATTTTCAATATTTATTAATTAAAATTGAATGTTTGTTCCTTCTAAAATTTTTTGTAAAATTTAAATGGTTTTAAATAAATATTTGGGAGCAAAGTTAGTTATAAAAATATTTGAAGACAATAATACTCAGTATTTATCTAAATTAAAGTCATTAAAAATGTTTTTGAATAAAAATATGCCTAAAATATTAACACAAAAAATAATTTGTCGCTAATCAATACTGACATAATTTAATATAAAATAAATATGAACTTTCTTTAAATTTATATTTTTTTTTTATAATTATCATTATCTATCATTAAACAAACTCTTTTTGGTTTTTTTATATGATATAAGGTGATTAGAATATTCAGGATTGCAGCAACACAACTTTAAATAATCTATGAATATAAGATGTGCTTATTTTTATTTGACCTTGCTATTAGATAGCCACTGTTCAGCTTCAAATGTTAAATAAAATTCAAAAGCTTTACCATATTTAGGATGATATATTAGCTTGTGAAGCGAGCTGTTATTATAATTGTAAGAATTTATAAAATTTTTAGCTAATTTATGAGCATAAGCTGGCTGTGCTCCACTTAAAGCAAAATCTATTAGCAAGTCGTTATTTTTGTTTAATAGATATTTAAAAAAAGCTTTTATAATATTTTTACTAATATTATTTTTATCTATTTTATCAAGTTTTAAAACAAGATCATTATTATTTTCTTATCCTTCATGATAATAGCTAAAACACGATTCTGTTTCACCAACATTTTTTGAATTATTAATTTAGTCATCGTGATAAGAATTTTGTTTTTATTTACTGTCTTCAGAAAAAAATGAATGATCATCGAAATCAAAGTATTTCTCTTAAAGTACATGCTAAGGTTGATTATTATTGGATGATTATTGTAAACACTTTATCTGATTTAATTCATTTTTAACAATTTTTTGTATTTTTATTTCTTAAGAAGAAGAAGCTGATTTCAATTAATTCATCTTCTCTATATGCTGTAAATAAGAATTATGTATGTTAGTAAATTAATAGTTGCTTTTAATTAATGCTAATTTTTTCCTTTTTGATATCATTTAAAAATTATATCAATCTGAAATCAATAAGGTAACTTTTATTCAAAATTTAATAAATATTGACTAATAACAAGCATATGTATATTAATTTTATATTCAATTCTGTTAAAAAGTTCTTTTCACGAAGATTATTAAATAAAATGTAATTTATTTTAATCTATGTAATTATTCAGAAATATAAAGTTTATCATGTTTTATTTAATAATTAATTACTGTTTAATAACCTCATTTTTAATTTATGAATTTTTTTTCTTTTTTTCTGAAACAAACGAAATGAAAAAGTAAAATATCTTCTAATAATTGAAATAATATTTCCATTTCGAAGTAAGCTTAAATTCTTCATAATTGTTACAGAAACAAATCAAATATTTGATTATCAATAATTTTTAATGTTACAGCATCAATTTTAAAAATACTATTTCAATTAATAAATAATGAATAGATTTTAAATAACTGACTAATTAATTTTTCTTCAAGATCAAATATTTAAATTAATTGGTAATGTATGTATGTTAGAGTTTGTCATCTTTTTAAAAATCTATAAGATTTTTCTCAGACCTTAAAAATATATTTTTTAATTTCATTTAAAGCAAACTAAATATGACAAATAGTATTGATTTAAATAATTTATTTTTAATTTTCTGATCTTTCATTTAATTTTTTAAATATTTATTTTTAAATGAGTAAAATAAGATGAATTTAATTAATATCATTCATATATATTTCAATAAAAAAGAGGTAGTGGTTAAAATTTTGTATTTAATTGAAAAATCAAGAAGAAAAAAAATATGCTTAAAAATATAAAAAGCAAAAGTATACTTTCTTTCTTTCTTTTTTAGAAGTTTGAAAAGCTTTAAAAATTAGATATTTCAAAAATCACAAGCTCATTTCAAAGAGTATTTTTTTAATGCCTTAAGTCTAATTTAATATTTTTTGTTCAGAATTATTTAATGTATTTGCAAAAATTTTCTACTAACAAAGTATAAATAAAAAAACCAAAAAAGTGTAAATTAATTATATATTATTAATTAATAACAAAAAAAGTATTTTTGTAGCAATATATCTATTGATATTAATGAGCATTAACTATTTATGAAATTGAATAATTAATAAGTGATTATTTCTTTATTTTCTAATATTTAGTAATACCAATTTTAAAAGATAAACAAAGCTAAAAAAGTATCATCATACCAGAGTTTTATATTTATTTTAAATAATTTTCAATTTAGTTAGAAAGACTATATTATGCTAAGATTTTATAAAAAGTATCATCTTATTTTTATATCTTTCTTTGTATTATAATTTACAAAAGTAATTTCTATAGAATTTTTTTTTAAATATTTCAATTATTTAGGTTTATTAATAGTACATCTCATGCAGATATTTTTATTCAATGTAAAAATACACCTTATTTATTTCTGAGTATTTCACAGATAAAATTTGTTTTTGATATTTAATACCAGATTTTATAAAATAAATTTTATGGAAAATTTTCTAAAGAGGTTTCTGGAGTTGGGTGCGGAACACAGTAGATATGTTTTAAACTAATTTATTAGCAAATAAGTGTTATAATATTAAAAATAATCTAAAAAATAGATCTTATAGTAAAGAAATTAAGTCGGGCAAATTTATTGATAATAATTTAGCTAAATTTGAAAACATAAAATTATTTATTATCCACCATATTTTAGTCATCAATATGATTTATAAATAAATTATTAAAGAGGTTCTAGCCTAAAGTATTTTTTGTAATATATCTATGATTGCTAATTATAATTTTTTAATTCACAATAATTAGAAGTATTAGCAAATAATATTTGTTATCTAACTTAAATTAATCGTTCATTAATTTACTAATAAATTAATTACTTAGGTCTATTGAATACGCATATTTGATTGTAATTCAAAAACATTTCTTTGAAAAATCACCTGAAAATCAACAGTAATGTTATAATCTTTTTATCTAATTATAACTCTAATTATCTATATTAACTTTAATTAAATAAGAATTAATTATCTTTTCCCTCTTTCTTGTTTGTCCATAATTTTTAATTTTTGTCTAGCTGATTTTTCAAAGTAGATTTTGAAACAATAAATTATTTAGTTCAAGCTATCAATAAAAAATGATAAGTTTACAATTTTTGAAAATTGTTACTATTTCTTTAATAGATAAAGTAAACAGTAAGCAATCATTTTGCTTAAATTAATAATTTTTCATTGAAGATTAAAAATAAAAATATTTATACAAATTTACATTAAGAATTGAATAGTAAATAATTTTATTTTTTTTTAAATATTTTAATCTGAAAATAATTTTATTTTTTATATAATTTTAAAATTAATGTTTAACATTTTCAAAAAAGAATTTGAGCGTAAGTAAACTCATCAAAATTTGATTTAATTAATCATGATATCTAATAAAAAATTTTATATATTTTAATTTTAATCAAATTTCACATAAAAAAAAGTAACTATAATTTAATTAAATAGCTAATTTTGATATATTTGATGAAAAGTATCTAAAAATTTGAAAAAATGAATAAGAATATAACAATTTTAGAATTATTTTAGTTCTTTTCATTAAAAAAATAAATAATAATTAAATTTTTTATGAAAAAAACAGCAAATAAATACATCTACCTAAATTTTAAATATAAATTGATATCAAAGTAAATCATTGTTTCTATAAAAAAATAATTAAATTTTATGTAAGAAATTTAAATATTTTAATTCTCTCTATAAATTTTATATAAAGTATTAATTTAGATGATAAGTTATATTAAATATTTATTTTAGAAAATGTTTAATTTTGTTTTTTAATAATTTTTTAAAGCTTCAACAAATATTTTTATTTCTTATCTACCTTGCTAAAAAGTGTACATTACTTTAAATATTGAAGATAAAATTTCATTTTTTTAAATTTATTTTCCAAAATATCATCTTAAATGCATCATTCTGATATCGAGTGATTTTATTTATTTTTAATAATAAAACTAATTTAAATCAGAAAACTTCATTTATTTAATAAAATTTTTTAATTAAACATTCTAATCAAATTCATAAATTTTAAAATCAATAAATCAAAAACAGGAGATTTATTAAATGACTATCTAGGAATATATTATGGTATTAAAGATAAAGTCTTAGTAAATAATAATTGAAGATAAATACTTTATTCTTATATAACCTACATGAATAAATTAGAAACTAATTTTCATAAACAAATAATGATACTGAAAATAATATAATTTATATAATTAATATCCTTCTTTAATATATGGAACATGATTAAGTTTATTCTTGTTATTTGTTAGTGTATTAATATTCAATATTGATTTTGTTATTTTAAATGTTTGATTAAACCTTCTTTTTTGAAATTATTAACTTTTTTTAAATACTTTCTTTTACTAGGTTAATAACAAAAAGGTAAGTTTTTCAAAAAATTTTAAAGCGATATTTATAAATTTTAATTAATATTCATATTTTTCAACTAACAGCCTTGCAATACATTTCAAATCAAATATATATACATTAAATCATCATATTATTATTTATAAAAATTTTAGATGTTGACTGAAAAAATAAATTGATAACCATAATTAATTAATCTTTTTCTACCTATTTTTAAAAGAAATTAAAATTTTTAATATTGTTTAATTTTTTAAAAAAGCAAATTTAAAAGTATATATGTATGTATATACTAGATATTTTCCATTTACGAACAAAGTTTGTATTTTATAATTTTAATTAAACATATTATTATATATATATTATTCAGTTATTGATCTCCTTGTTTGTATGACTAACAATAATTTTGTTAAATTTAGATTATAAAATTATTATGTAAATAACATTTAATTAAAGGTTATTTATAATGAATGGGAAAATTTCTTGAAAATAATATTAATTATGAGGTTAATTAAATACTGTAAAAGCTTGCTTTAGCTAAAGATATGATGCTTATAGATATGTTTCAAAGGTTTCTTTAGCATTTTAGAATGTTACACTTTCTAAAATTTCAGTATAGAATTTTGAAACTTATGATAAAGGATTATTTTTTATTTATTATAAAAGTCATAAATTTTAACATGATCTACTACTATTTTATATATTATGTTTTTTTAATTTTTAAATCAATCAATAATATGTTTCATTAAAAATATTTTATTATCTTTTATTTAGAAAATAATAATATTTATTTATTTTTGAAATAATTTCTTCATTATCTCATTAAATAAATCGTATTAGTTCTAATCAATAAAATTTCAAATATCAACTCGTTTATATCCTTCAAAAAACAAAAATTTACAAATATTAATTTTTATATTAACATTTTATCAAATATCAAATAGAATAACTGATATCGTTATCTCAATTAACAAATTATTGAATGAATGAATCAAGAAGTTAGGAAATATTAGTTTTAAAAATACATTTAAAAGAGTAACAAAGACAAAAAATGTTTTTATGCAACTTTAACAAATGGAGTATTTATAATTTTTAAAACTAAATAATTATATCAATTGTATGTTTTATTTAAGCAATCAAGCAAGCGCTAATTTACTTTCCTGTCTTATTCATCATAGTTTTCAAAACCTCTCTCTGAATCTTATATGAATTTTTCTAACTAGGACTAAAAGTATTATTCATCATAATCTATTTTATCCATGAGTTCTATCTAATTAAACTATAAATTAAATAGCTATGATGATTATGATTCAAGATCTGGAATATCATTTTTAGAAAATTTTTCTGTGGTAGCTGCAACTTTGCTTTTATTAGTTTAGTTTCTTTCAAGTAAGAAGGGTATCTGATCATTAACAGATGCTCCACAGCATTTAATTGCTGCATATTACTATGGAGTAATTAACATTGCTAGTATTTTTCTTATTCTCATGAGCTCGGATTAAATTTCGAAGACATCTTGAGATTAAGATGCCTAGTAAAATAAGGCTTCATATAAATCTTTATCACTTCTTTTTTTCTTATTATAATCTTCTTTTTCTTCACCAATTATTGTCCTTAAAATTCTTTGAAACATTGAAACCTTAAATTTCTTTGATAATTCTTCATTTAAGTCTTTTTATTCTATGTATTTATTTGCTTTTAAAATATCATCTTTATTCAGTTTGCTATGCAATATAACTTCTTCGTTTTATTCACTTTTCTTTAGAAATTTGTATGCAGTCTATTTATAATATTCTTTTAGTTTTAAGTCAATAAAATATTATTGAATATCTGTTTTGGAGACTATCCCGCCTATTACTCCCAAAAGCAAAAGAACATTAAGGATACTTACAAACTAAGCTAATATTTCTGGGTATTGAGGATATTAGATAGTTTAATTATACTAAGTACCACTCAAACTGATATAAAATTCTGCTATTAGGGGAGTATTTTAAGTACTAGAAGTAGCTCCTCTTGACCTGAATGATTCTTGGCTTGAGACATCTGATAAATGGGTATATTGGGTTGTTTTAGATATTAGGAAACCTTCTTGCATACTAGTTTTAGAAACTTGAAGAGTAATTTAAGAATTGGTTAGTAAAGTAGGATCTAAATTGAAAAAAATATCCTGCTATTTTGGTTCTAGGTCTTGACTATCTGTGTTAAATTGTTTTTAATTTACTGTAAAACAAAAAGAATTAGCCTAGCTAAAGACTTAATCTTCAAATACCTATGAATAGAGACAATCACTAACCTATGATGAACTACATACTGCATTTATTTAAATATAAATTTTAGTATCCACTCCCTCTTTTGAAAAAGTTTTAAATTAGGCATGATCTTAGTCAAAAGAAGAAAAATCTAGGCATTATGATGTTAGATCTATGTTTTCATCATCAGTTAGATTTGAACAATAATTTATAGGTATATCAATTTATGGTAACATATTTCCGTTATCATCGCTTTACAAAAGTGTAGCTTTATAAGATATCAGCTATTTACCTTGCTATTTCTACCATAACATTAAATTCTATTAAGTGTCTTAGTTGTAAATGTCAAAATAAATGTAATTTGGCTGAATCGGTAAGAAGAAATTAGATGTTATTTTCTTAAGTTATGATGTAATCTTTGGTTAAATTTCTCCAGATCCAAATTTGTAATTTAGGTAAATAAAATAAGTTAAAGCCGCGATGATAACCAAAAGTGAGATACATCCTCCAAAATTTGTTTGCCTTTTATTGTTTCCAACTCCCATTTCAAATTGAAATGGTGATCCAAAAATGTCTAATCTTTTTAAACAACTCATTGCTATTTTTTTAGTAGTTTGTAAGTAATACTTTTTTGCTTATTTTTATTAATTATAGATTGTAATACAAGAAAATAAGCGATTTTTAACTTGTATTATTCGTAACTTAAATAAAGATTAAAATCAAAATTTTGCCTTGGTTCTATTTTAATTCTTTTTTACATTAAAAAGCGTCTAATATATTTCTGACGAGGATTTTTAATCTATCATTGATTATCTACCCAGCCATAATTTTTCCAACCATCACTTAACAAATAATCCGTTTAAATTGAAAATCTTTTTTCTATATATTATTTTGAAGTTAGCACATTTTTTCATGAAATTCACATACTATTTATTTATTATTTTAATGATCATTATTTAAAATAAAATTATTATTATTTAGAAATCAAGAAATTTTTAGATTTCATTGATGGTTTACAATAAATATTTTATCAATTTATATTGAATTTGCATTTTTTTGTGAAAATTTGTTTAAAACTCCATTTTTCGTAAGTAAGCGATCATTTTATCCATAAAATTATACCTTTATTTTACAAATTAATAGCAAATAACATTAATTTATTCTCTAATATTTTAATGTCTTGAAAAATCCACAAAGAATTTATTTTTTTCATTTGAATATTCGATAAAAATCTCAAGAATTATGAAAATATTTTCAAATAAATGCTGAGATATTTACGTCCGCACTTTATTTTATATAAACATTAACTGTTACATATATCATAATTTATTATATATTTTTTTACAACTAATTAAGGTATGTCTTATACAATATGTAAATTTCAAATTAAGTAAAAGTAATTAAAAAAAAGCTCGAATAATAGAATAATTTTAATGAGTACTAAATAAATAACCTTATTATTTGAAGCATCAAGTCTATTAAGATTCATGAAATGTTTTCTCAAAAATATCTATATAGTATAACTTATTTTTGTTTGTATAGTAAATAAACTTGAAATAGACTTGAAATTATTGTAGACTCATATTTAGATAATAAAAATAGATTGATCAAATATATAACTTTTTGATTAATTAAGTGAGGATTGATGAAAAAAACCACATATTTCAAAATTAATCAGTTAAGCATTTCCTTCTATATTGATTAGACAACTAACAAATTTGTAAATTTGCAATAAGTGAGTTAATAAAAATGGTACTCTCTATAAGAAATGTGTGCGTAATAAATATTTTTTTCAAAATAAAAAATTATCAGTCAAAAAATATTAAAATTCTTACATTATTAAAAATATTTTTGCCTCTATAATTTAATATTTGATAGATAAAAAATTACTTGACATTTTTTATTGTACAAAATATGTATTCTTAATATTATTAAGATTATTCTTAAAAGAAATAGAAAAATTAAGTTTTCTTCTATTGCTAATATCATAATAACGTAATTACATATGAACAATTTTTAGAATGATTAAATTATTTCCTCTTTCTTTTGAAAGGAAAATAAATTATTTTGAAAAAATAATATTATTATTAAATATGAAATGAAATATAATAAAAAAACATTTATCTATAACAAATATCTAAGAATCTAAAATAATTAATATTCAATTCTAAATTCCTTTCATTTTATATATTTGAATAAATTTAGTTTAACTACCAAAAAATTTTATTTATTTCTAAAATAGTTATTTTTCATCAGAATAAAAATATTAATTCATTAATATAAAATTAAGACTATTTAGGAGTGAGTGTATTATGTTTTAATATTAAATATTACACTGATATCACATGAAAGTAATTGAAATATTACTTATTTTTTCTAGTAATTTAATAGATACAAGTTCTTCTTTTTATATTTGTGTTATAGAACATAATATTGCTTGTTTTTGTGAAATAAGATTCAATTAAAGAATACTTAATATCAAAAACCTTAAAAAATAAATCAAAATAGCATTATATTTTCCTAATTTTCAATAAAAAAGAATTAACTTTATTTTTTTATAAAATAAAGTAAGTAATTGCTTGCTAATACCTTATTAAATGTTTTCAATTATTTAAAATGTATTATTAAAAATTGTTATGAATATTAGAATAAATTTATTTGATTTAAGTCTCTTATGTTTTCATAAATTATAATAAATATTATTAGTTAAATTTACTTTTTTTAAAGTAAACCACTCATTGGAATTATTGAAATTGATTTTTTTCTATTTCATATATCATTATTGCATTTAATACATTGAAAATATTGTTTTACTAATTTACCCATATAAAACAAAAAATTTGATTCCTTTTTTATGCAATAGTGTTATTAAATTTTAAAAAAGATTTAGATTTAATATTTAATCTTATGCAAGTTTAATAAAAATAAATATTTACATCATTTAGTTTTCATTATTAGATTTTAAATATTCAAATAACTTTTATAAACTAAACTTCAGTTTATGATAATATATTGATTAATTTAAAATATAAAATTAAGATATTTCATGATTAATAATTACTTTTAAATTTATTTATTTTCTTCATGTGAATATAAATAAATTTATTGATTATTAATTTTATTAATAGTCAATTTTTAATACTTTTTTAATTTTTTAAAATACTAAATTTAACTAATCGTGTATTGTTTTTATTTAACTTTAACGTGAATATAATCAAGAAAATATAAATTATCATCATCATAAATTTTAATTCATGAATCATTCAATATTTGTTGAATTATAAATTGAAGAAAATACAAGAAGAAAGTATTTAATAAAATTTAATTATAAATTTTTAAAGAATATACAACTTTTAAAGATAAATAAATAGGTTTACTTATTTTATATTGGAAAATTAGAAAATAAAATAATTTTTTGAAATAACTACTATCTGTTTATTAATTTATTTCAAGAAGTAATTATGAATCACTATTATTAAATGTATTTTTATTAGTTAGTGACTGAATTATTAATTATATTTTATCAGATTTTATTATTAAATTTGCTTTTTTTATTTTTTTTATAAGTTACTAAGTGATCTGAGTATTTCAGGTTAGAACAGCAGAGTTTTAAAAAATCAATGTAAATGAGGTGAGTTTCCTTTTATTATACCTTACTACCAGCTAGCCATATTTCCGCTTCAAAAGTCAAATAAAATTCAAAAGCCTTACCATATTTAGGGTGTTAAATTAGCTTATTAAGAGAGTTATTATTGAAACCGTAAGATTTAAAATAATTTTTAGCCATTTTACGAGCTTAAGTCAACTAAACGCCTTTTTCTACGAAATCTGTAAGCAAATCATTATTTTTTTTATCAAGCAAATAGCTAAAAAAAGATTTTATAATATTCTTACTAATGTTGTTTTTAGAAATACACTCAAATTTTGCAAGGAGGTCATTCATTTCAAATCCTTCTACCTACATTTAAACATTATCTGAAAAACTAGAATCGATTTCAGTTAATTCTTAGCTATCATTAGTTTATTAATCAAATTATTTTGCCAGTATTTTCGTATCAAAGCAAGATAATTATGTAAAAGAACAGCTATCATACTCTGATTAAAAACTACTTTTGCAGAATTTTTATTATTCTTTTTTGTAAGGATTTTAGCATCTCATTTTAAGTTGATATATATTTGAACAAGCGATAGTTTTTTAAATAAAAATATATTATTAAATTTTAGAAATTCTATGAGTATGATAATGAATTATTATTTGCAATTCCTTTTACAACCTTAATATTTAAATTTTTAAAAAAATTTTTAACTTTAATTGATTATAATAGTTTGTTATTCATTTTTGAATGGACTTATTTATCTCACTTGAGTAAAGAAATTATGGAACAATGTTTATCTATCCTACTTAAAAGAAAGAAATATCAATAAAATTCAATAAGCATTTAAAAATTTAAATTAAAAATATTATTTTTTTCTAAGTTTTATTGTAAAAAAAAGATAAATATTCCTGTATCCAAAAACAATCTCTTTTAACAAATTTCATTATATATTTGAATTACTTGATTTAAAAGTCATTTGATTTCTTAAAATTTGATCAAATTTGCAATAAAATTGTTAATTTTAAAAATGCTTGTTTAAGCATTTATAACCAAAAAACTGTTTTATAATGAAATTTCCATCCAAATGAAAATATTTTAGTTTAATTCATCATTTATAAATTTAAATTATTGTAAAGTTTTTAAATGAAATTATATTCAATATATTTTACTTTAATAAAATCAATGCATTGTTTACCAGTTTATTTTCTATTTGATTTTTAAATCTAAAAAACAAGATGATCTGATTTATTATCATACAATTATCATAAGCTGGTTCGAATTTTTAATAACACTAGATTACCTATTTTATGAATTATCTTAAAATTGAGATGAATTTTTACCATAATATAAAATATACTTCTTAATATAAAGATTTTATTAATAAAAAAATTAAATTTTCTTAGTTTTCTGGATATTAAATTGTAAAAATTGAGTGCGGTATCAATAGCTTAGCTCATTTAAGGTAATATTTTAAACTAAAATATTTTTGAAAAGAAATTTATTCAATTCATATAAAGGAATTAATGCTTTTAAAAATAAACCACTATTTAATAATTAAATTTGTGAATAATCTTAAAAGAACTAATATTGGTTTCCCATCAGTAATTTAAAAAATATGTTTTTAAATTTATATTTCTAAATAGAAAATATTATTACTAAATTCATGTGATAGGGATAAGTAAAATAAGAACAAAAATTTTTAAAGTAAGCATTTTAAAAGATAAATTTCAATTTTTATGATAAGAATCTATCAATTTATTATTTATAATCTATCAATTTAAAAAATAAATTTTGAAATCTACAAGTCTCTGGTTGATTTTTAATTTACTTTTTTAATATTAAAAACTTCTCAAAATTGACGCTTATCCTTTATTATTTAAAAGTAATTATCTACTGTTATATACCCTATTTCTCACTTAGATTTAATAAAGGTATATACTTAAATCAAACACATAAACCAATTTATCAATATAAAATCTGAATTAACATTTTCATTATTATTTAAGTTGCTTTAAAAAATTATTTTTTTAATTAATTTATATATTTATAGAATTTTTATTTTAGAATTAGCTACATTATTAAACTAAAAATCAATATTTAATAGACAAAATGATCCTCTAAAATATAATTTATTTTATAGATATTAAATTAAGTGTTATAGTGAGGAATTCTTGCTAATAAATATATGGAAAAAAAAAAATTATTTTTACAATTTTATTTCAAAACAAATTGTTATTAAGGAGTAAATATGTATTCTTTGACTCTATTAAGAGTTTTTTTAAGTAGCCTTTCAGAGAATTTATTAGAAAATACTTTATTATCCTTTAAAATTAATTTGTTTGCTTCCAAAAATTTAAAAATCTGAATGAAAAATTCTTTAGTAAATTGAATAGTAAAAAGAAACAGAGCAACAATTTTTGAAATCAATTCACTCTATTATTCGTAATTATGTTTTAATTGTTAAATTCTTCAAAATTGAGGGAATAAAAATTATTAAAAAATTAAGCAGATTTTTTTTGTTAATAATTACAATTTTTGTTTAATAATATACAGAGTTAATTAATTATGTTCTTCAATATATTAAATAAAAAAAAGAGATTATTAAAAAATAAAAATCCTATTTATAAATCAAATATATTCTGATTTTTTATGATGAAATTATTATTTTTTAGTTCTAATTAATTTTTTGCTTGCTTAAAAGCTAAAAAAACAATTTATAATTAAAATTCTAAAATAACAATTTGCTCAAAGAAAAAATTGAACTCAGAAATTAAATATAAAATATTTGTTAATCATATAAATCTAGCATAATAAATTTATAGAAGGGAGGGGATGATTTTAATTATTATTTTTTATTTTTAAGAAATGTATGATAAAATAATTTATTGCAAATTATGTGATTTACTCTTAAATTTTTAGATAAGGTCTTCACTAAATATTTAAAAATATATTAATTTTATAATTTTTTAAATAAAATCAACTAAATTTTAACTAATGATATAAAATTTTAAATGAAAAAACAATTTAATTGAGTATATTTTTAATTTTAACAATATAATATTTATATTTTGTTATTATTTAATATATTTAAAGTTATAACTAATAATTTTTTAACAATAATTTATAATTTATTTCAAAACTAGAGTAGGGTTTTAGAATCAAATATGTTCTAATATCTATTTTTAACTAAACATCTTATTCATCTTCTCAAAAAAAAAGATAATAAATATGTTTGGATAGCTATTATTATATTTTTTAATCAGCTATTATAAAGCAATAAAAAATCTTCTTTTTAACAATTTTATCAGATTCTATCATAAACTCTTTTTTTTCTTTTATGTACCATCATATGCTTAAAGTATTTTTAATTTGAGCATATCAATTTTAAAAAATCTATGAAAATTAAATGTGTTTCCTTTTACTGAACTTTACTTTTAGCTAGCCACTCTTCTGCTTCAAATGTCAAGTAAAATTCAAAAGCTTTTCCATATTTAGGATGTTAAATCAGCTTAAGTAGTGAGTTATTATTGTATGTAAAACATTTAAAATAATTTTTTGCCATTTTTAAAGCGTTAGTAGGCTGCATTCCTTTGTATGCAAACTCTATTAGCAAGTCATTATTTTTGATATTTAATAAATAATTAAAGAATGCTTTTATTATGTTTTTTAAGATGTTATTTTTCGAAATGCTCTCAAATTTTTATACAATTTCACTCATTTCACTTTTTTCAAGAAGCAAAAAGTTTTGACTAAAAGATACATTCCACTCTTATACTTCTTTCATATTTATTTAAGAATTATAATTTAACTAAAACTAATTTAAATTTTTTAAAATAGTGTTCTTGACTTTTTATTATTGTTTTCTATAATTTTTCTTTTCTTCTAATCAATTATTTTACTTCCTTAGTTCTTCCATTTAATTTTTATATGAAGAGTTTTTAGAGTAATCAAAAAGAGAGATCAAACTATAAAAATAAATAAACAATTTTTTCCATTTTTAATTATATATTAACAATATTTAAAAGCTTATGAACTATGTATTAGTTATTCAATAAAAAAAATGTCTTGCTATCTTTATAAGCATTAAAATAATATTGTTACTTATTACTCTCTTAAATCTAAAATTACTCTCTAATTTGATATTATTTAAAAAGATATTACTAAAGGAATTTAAAAAGGGAAGATTACATTAAAAAATTCAAGTTCGTTCAAAAAAATGGAAATACATTAAATAATTACAAAAACTTAAATGTAATTTTATATAAGAAGTTAGGCCTGATTACTGGTAACTCCTTAAAATTCTCAGTAAGCCTCTTTGTTTTGAAAATAAAAGATAAAAAAATACAAATAATTTTATAGTTACTCAACTTTCAAAAATCCAAATTTTTGTATTAATAAAATCTGTTAATGTTTACTTATTAACTAAAGGTTTTTCATATTAATAAATAAATTAGCTCTAATTTAAATATTAATACACTAAAAATTAATTACAATTTCCTTTATTAAATAAATTGGAATAAATAGCTGGAAACCCCTTAAAAAATTTAATATATTTTCCTTTTTAGAAAATAAAATATAAAAACAGTACTAGTTAGATTATAGTAACTCAATCTTGAAAAATCCAAAAAAATCATATCAATTAAATCTGTTAGTGTTACTTACTAATTAAGGGTTTTTTCATATAAAAAATAAATAAATAAATTAGTTCTAGCAAATGAGAATATGTCAAATAATTACTATAAAATTTTAATTTACTTGTATATAGCAAAATATATTAATTAGATAAAATCACTTTAAAATTTGCTATGTGCTATCTATCCTAGAAAATGAGAGAAAAAATAATAATAATAAAATTATAAATACTCAATCTTAAAAATCCAACTTTTTATTAATTAAATCTTTAGTTTACTTACTTATCAATGATTTCTAATAAATTTTGATTATGGTTATATGATAAATTATAATTAATTAGTGATATTAATTTTGGTTATACAAGCAAGAGTTTATGTATTATGTTTGAAAGCATCTTCAATTTCTTAAAATATACATTTAATATTAGTAGAACATATATATTATGTAATTAAAGGTGTTTAAAATAAATATTAGTTAATTAATTATTTATTTATGTATTAAATTCAGCTTAGATATATTTAATCTCAAGCA